TTTTCCTTGTCCCGCTTTTTTTTTATTATTATTTCACCTATTTACCGAATATTTTCCTCATTACAAGTAAAAAGTAAAAAAGTAGATAAAAGTTTCCTTCACACCTTTAATATAATATTCTTAAATCTCGCTTTTTTTCACTTTTTACTTTCCCCTACATCACCACTTTTACTCTTCTTCCTCAATCTCACATCTCAAAACCTTTAATCCTGTTTAATAAAAAAAGGACTAATAAATAAAAATAAAGAGAAAAAATGAACCTTCTACCAACCGAACTATTACATTATATTTTTTGTCTTCTTGGCAAGGACCAAAAATCCATATCTTGTTTATCAATAGTATGTCGTAAATGGCATGCTATCACTTTACCAATAATGTACTCTAGACCTCAAATAACCCGTATAAATAATTTTCATAAATTCCTAAAGATTCCAAATAGTTCTGGATATTTAGTACGTGAAATTGATTTATCAGGTTTATCACATAGATGGTCAGAGATCACTGATACTGATATTATTGCTTTGGTTAATTTATGCCCAAATTTAACTTTTCTTGACATAAATTTTTGTCAACAACTTCATGATTCAACACTTATTCATATAGCAAATCATTTGGGTTCAAATATTACTACTCTTAATGTTTCACAATGTCCAAAATTTACTGATGTAGGATTTTCCGCTTTGGCTCGTTCTTGTAAGGTTTTAACTTCTTTAGATTTTTCTTATACCGATATAACTGATAGCGCTTTATCAAAATTTGCTTTAACTTGTCCTACTATAAGATGGTTAAATTTAAAATATTGTGAATTAGTAACTGATTTAAGCTTAGATGAATTGAAAAGATGGTGTAAAGAATTAAGTTTTTTGGAATTAGAAGGTTGTTTTGGCGTTATAAGAGAAGTTGGTGATGAAGATATTTGGGTGACTGAAGAAGAAACTGATGATGATGATGATGATGATGATTATCTTGATCTTGATAATTTATAATTTTGTTATTAATTAACGACAAGATCATTAATCATTCCAAGATGTTGGACTGAATGTAACAATGAAGAAGATATAATAGTATTGGTCCATAATAACCAGTAATGGTAGGTCCAAATCTGATTTTTATTCTTTTTACGAAGAGAATTAGGATTTTGGATTAAGGACAGAAAGGAGAAAAGTAACAATTATTAGCTCCACTCCATTATTTATCGCGGGTGTATTATAGACAGGGAAAACAAACGAAAAAAAAATATATATATACACACACACACACGCACACATATGTATATTAGCAATTAATTTAAAGGATATGTTTGATGTGAATAGAATAGTTGGAAGGGGAGAAATTTTATTGCATTTTTTTTTTTTTTGCATTTTTTTGGATAATATTTTATTAAAAATGGATTTTTACAATCGGACCTTTACATAAATATTTCGTAATTATTTTTTCATTATAATATTAATATATTAATAGTAATTATAGTAATTAAGTTATTTTTTGTAAGTAGTTGATTTGATTATCTTTCTCTTTTTTTTTTTTAGTTTTACTTTCTTGTACCTTTTTTTTTCTTTTCTTTTCTGTATTTACAATTTCACAATTTTTAATAATATAATAATAATAGTAATAGAAATAAAAAATTATAATAAAATCTAATTTTTAATTCATTATCTAATAATAGACTTAATTCAAATATATTCTAAATTACTATCACATACTTATATTTGTAAATGCAATATATAAAAAAATTTTTTTATAGTAAATAAAACTCATAAAGTTTAATAAAAAGTAAAATTAAAGTTGCAAGTAAAACTTAATAACTGTTTAAATTAAAATGTTTAAATAGTTTTGCCAAAAATATTTAAAATTACATTTTTTTTCTTTTTATTTTAATTAAATAGGCATAGGAGAGCATATTTTTGACAAAAGTCGATAGATGTACCTATCAATACTGAGAATGCCACTGGTAGTATTTCCAAAGCGGTAGTAGTAGCAGCAACAGCATTAGCAGCAGCAGCAGCAGTAGTTGTGATAGAAGGAAAAGAAGAAAAAATAGAAGAAGAAGAAATAGAAGAGGAGATAAAAGAAGAAATAGAAGAAATAGAAGAAATACTAATTAGTATATCATGGAAATCTTCTGATCATTCTACAGATGTCACCCCTATCTTTAGCTCCTGTATGACTATATGTTTAAGAAAAGGTTTTTAAATTGCTTAAATAGCCTGTTTAGCATATACTGTATATATATTACAGGCCATAGTACTTTCCTATATATAGAAAATTTCATAGAATTATATAGTACCTGGAAATATTTTACAATTATCTTGTGATTCAATAATCAGATTTGAGCCATCTTTTTTTTTTTGTTTGATAGCTCTTATTGAGCTCTTCAAAATAAAAAAAAGATTGCTTAAATTGGACTTGTAGATCACTTGTAGATCAAAAGATATTTGCAAAAAATAGAATTTTTAAGTTTTATTTAGTATCTAAGGTACAGAGTCAAACCCCCAATTTTTGCAAAATACCCAGGGTACTGTATCTGTGATATATGGTAATTGCTACTTATATCTGCCAATTCTCTAAACCTCATAGACTATTCAGAAAAAATCATGTTTCTGGTCATTGGTAAATTTTAGATTTTTACAAATCTGTTTAGAACTTTATTCATAGTTTTATCCTTTAGGGATTCTACATCAATTTGCTTTTCTATAATTTTTATCACTACAAGAAAATAGTAGAATCCTTTGAGAGATCAACTGGTATCTTCACAAAATCTGCTTGATGTGTTGCATTTGAAGTTTACATAATTACTCGTGAATACTCTGATAATTTTTCTTTTAATGGTTTTTTGTAGAGGTTGTAATGCTCTTCATTTTTTAGAATTTATACTAGTACTTTAGAGATTGTAGTACTTGTAGTAATTTTCTAAGGGTGTTTTATTATGACAAATTAAAGAAAGGATTTTGGTCTTCAAATCCAAATGACATAATTTCATTGTCTAAGTGTAAAAAGAAGTAACAAAATATTTAATAGTTATTTAGCATTTCAGCTTAGTAAATCTTACCAATCATATTACTTATTGCAAATACATGTAAAGCATAATAGTACATACTGCAGTTATGAAATTAGTAACTGTTTTATCAGGCTTATATAATAAGTATTTTTATATAATTTGTAACTGGTTTTATCCAGTATCATATGATTTTTTATAATTAAAAATGGTTATAATAAATCATGTATCAGGTAAAAATTCATATATCAGGCAAAAAAATTATGTATTAGGTAAAAATTTATGTATCAGGTAATATTCAAATCATAAGATATCAGATAAATCATTTATTTGATACTTTAAGTCAAATAACTAATACTATCTAAAGGTAACTTGTTATATTGGGAATCAAATTTGATCAGTTGATCTTGGACTTCTGCGAAACTCAGATCAACTAATTAAACTTGATTTATTCAATATAACAGCTATTTGGCATTTCGTGTTGAATAACTATTAAATACTAATATAAATCACCGTAAATGCCTGATAAAAGATATTACTACAAATGGGTATTATCATTTAATATAGTAATTGTATAACTTATAATATATATGGTGTCTTTGCAATAGAAAGGTATGAAACTTAAAAAATATCAAAAATTGAATTAATATTAAATTTGCATTTATTTTAGTAAAAAAAACATAATTAGCATATAAAGTAAAATTAAAATTTTTTTTGAGTTTCGTATTTTTCTATTGCAAAGACCCCATATAAGAGTATCTTTACTGGAAAAAACTGGATGATTAAAAAGAAAATCAAGAAGGAGAAAAAAATATTATAGTTAAAAAAAAGGTAATAGATTATTAATCAGCAATACAAAAAATTTGAACTTGAAATTTTTCAGTTTGATAAAGTATGTTAAGATTGTATTGCTAAATGCTTAGATAGTAATGTAAAAAGATTAACTGCAGCAGAAAAAGTAAAAAAGAAGAAGGTGGATTAGTATTATCTTATAAAATTATTTTTTATTATCAAAGGATTTCTCATCTTTTTTATTGTCATTATCAATTTTACCAAAATAATTCTTCTTATTTTCTTCTATGCTATCAAGGATAAGTCCTATTATAAGTAATTCAATATTTCTTATTATTTGGTTATATTTCTTCTAATCAGATTTTCATATCATAAACTTATAATTAAGAAGAGCTTTTTCTACTGCTATTATTTCTGCTAATCTGATATTTCTTTTTTGATAAACCTGATAATAAGTGTCTTGAGCTTTCCTAAGATTTTTTGTAATCTGATTATAGGCTTTTTCAGATTCTTCAGATTCTTCAATTTTTTAAATTTCTCTATTTAATTATAAGCCTTTGCAATTACATTATACTTATTTAGTACTTGATGGTAGGGTTCTGTAACTTCTTTAGTATAGCAGACATACTTTTATCACTTTGCTGATCATTTATTAATTATATATATCATAATAACAGTTAATATTAACATGGTTTATATTGCAAAAACTACTCTAAAGATCTGAAAGCCTAAAACTAATAACTTTATTTTAATCCTAAACCAGTTCTTGAAAAAATGTAATTTGTTGGCTAGCTTCACTTCAGAATAATTAAACAAACATATTTTCAAACTAGATGTTTACTTTCAGATTGGATAGTCTGTAGATGTGTTAAGATAGCTCTTGCTAAATCTAAATATTTATTTAGTAAAGAGAAAATAGAGGCTTTCCTGCTAGACTAAAGAAAGAGGAAGTTTATCATAGAGGAAAGGGTAAAATACTGCATTAAAACTAATAATGTAACATAAGCTACTGACAACTATTTCATTTTCATCATTATTTTTTGGGTTTAAGTTTAAATAATAGATGAAAATGTCCATAAAATCTCAATTCTGTATGAAGTTATTAGAAGTTGGAGCAGATTCTGAAATTATTAATACTTATGCCAAAAATAAGGATGTTATCCAAAAATCTAAAAAAATAAACTAAAAAGCGAATGGCTAATTCAAATAGAATTCCCATTTATTTCTCCTTAGCAAGAGTATCTAAAAGACTTGAGAATATGGATGTATCTAAAATTTCTACTAGAGAGGATCTCACAAATATGATAGTAATATTGAATATGATGAGATCTGCAAAAATAAGATTTCTTTAAATTAATCATTATTAACTGGATCCTTTGAACATTTCAGTATGTTATAAAGAAGGCTATTTTTGGTACTGCATAGGCTATTTAAAAAGTAGGGAAAAAAAGAAGAATTCTGAGCCCAATTATTTCTTTTTATAGAAAAAATCCAGAATATATAAGAGAATTGCTTATCTGAATTCAAGGCTAAAAAGTTATCTAATCCTATTTTTACTAAAAGTGGAACATGGCTATTTAATGAATTCTTGAAGCAAAAATCTTATAGAATCGTACTTAAAAAATTAAGAGATTATGGAAGTAAACACGCTTCCAGAATTCATAGTAGTAAGAACTTAATTTTCCAGCATCTTAAACTGCTTTTAAGAATCGCAATAAGGTAAGAATCAAACCATCTTGATGCAAATGATAATTATGCTATACAGCTATATAGGTGATACAGAATCGGAAAAGTCTGGTTCTAAATCTGATTCTGAAAATACAACAAATCCAATATTTCACTTATGCTAATTGCATTTACGAGGTATTTATTAATTCTTTGATTGTATAATAATAATTAATAGTCAATAAAATTAATTTTAAATTATGTCATAATGATAATTAAATAAGACATTTTCTTAATAAGCTCTGATGTAAGATTTTATGTATATAAAATTTTTTTTTTACTTTGATCCCAAGCCATCGTGCTATTATCTCTAAGTTTGAACTCATTAAAAAGAAACTGATTTAAGAAATGGTTGATAAAAAAATTATTATTAAAGTCCAAACAAAACACTTTGCAATTAAAATATAAATGAAATATATTTTTTTAGCTATAACTGTGCATTTACAAGGAAGTGATTCATAGTTTGTAATTTCAAAAACCTTATAACCTTATTAGGCGAAGAATATAAACTTTTGATGAGTTTTAATTTAATTAAAGTTAACATTGTTAATTTATTTCTGACTCTGCATGCTCTATATATAATTAATGACCATTTTACTCTATCTACTATCCAGAATATTAATGTTGGGGCAAATTAGAGTTAATGTTGGAATAGTTTATGAATCAAGTTGAGTCGAATTTTGAATCAATTTTTTATATGATAAAATTTGTTCTATGTTAATTTTTATAATACTTTAACTATATTATTTATGTTATGTGAATCTATGTAAGTCATTTTGAGTTGCATATGCAGAACACTATATTGAGATGTATTAATATATATAAAGATGTAGTATGTAATTGATAATTACTATTTTGTGTTGTAATAGTAAGGGTTGCAACCTATTACTACTTTTAAAGTTAAAGTGTTGTAATATTACAACACTTATGATTGTTCAAAAATTTCCTTTTTGAAAAATAAAAATTACAAAAATAAGTTTTTATAAAACAAATATTATTATAAAAAAAATGATTAATATATTATAATACATATTTGTATAATTAGAAATAATTACAACACTATATAATAATTACAATACTAGTAGTAATTATAATACTATATAACGATTATAATATTGTGTTGTAATTACAACAAAAGTGTTGTATGTATGTTGTAATAGTTGCAACCTTACAACCTTCTAAAAATAATTACATATTACATCTTTAAATATATAGATAGCTTAGATGGATGAAATATTAGCAGGTATTACTAGTAGTGTTAACTATTAATATATAGATAATTTAAATGAACGAAACACCAGCAAGCATTAGTATAGAGACTCTACTTCTCTTTGTAAAACATTTATATATTTTTGAATCTTGTAATTTATTTTTTTACATCAATAATCAGTAATTCTAATGAGGATATTACCTCATTTTTTTATCTATATTAACGAATTTTTAAATTATTTCATCTTATATAAAAATTATTATTAAATATGCAATCTATTAATTCATTGAGAGAATTAAATTCCAAGCTCTTAGTTAAAATTACAATACTTAAAAAGGAGAATGCTGAGATTCCTGAACTTAGACTAAAGTTTGAAACTGAGAATGCGAGGCTAAAACAAATTATTAAAGAGAATACAAGGCATAATACTAAGAATGCTGAACTCAAGTCTAGAGTTGGAAAACTTGAAGCCAAACTTGCATTATTAGAACAAGGTTCAGCAGTAGATGGAATAGTATTGTCATTTGGTCAGACACAAAATGATGAAGAAGCGATGCCAGTAGTAACAGTACCAACTGTTAATGTACCTAATTCTATAATAAATCAAATCAATAATGAAGTAGGATGAGGCGATGAGCACCTAGTGACCTTGATGGTAATGATAAGGAGATGATTGATTTTTTGGGTGAGGCATATAAGAAAAGCATTAGCAATAAGATTAGAAAGAGGAGATGGAAAAAAAAGTAGAGAGATCAAGAAGCATCTGTAATTTCTCAGGATATGACTAAAATTCCTGAGATCACAGTAAAAATAATCAATGGCCCACTAAGATTGCTGGAAAAACTAGGGGTTTTGGCAAGTTAGTGAAATGCCAAAATGGTGAAACTTTGCTAAAACTATATAAAAGTCTTATTAAAAAGTTGGCAAAACTCTGGAGAAAAGCAAAACCTGACAAAACTTATTATAAATGCTAAAACTGCTGAAACCTTATTGAAACTATAATAAAACTATAGTAAAATTTTAGAGAAACTAATCATAGAATTTTGGAAAGATTTAGGCAGGCAACCTTAGGTTCCATATAATCAGTTTTTGGAACCAGACCGGTACAGACTGCAGTCTTAGATGCAGTAGGACCAAGATGAAGACCGACATCAGTCCTACATTTCAGTCTTCATAATTTTACATAAATTTTAATAATTCATATTAAATTTGATTAATTATTATTGCTGATCATTTTAGAGATAAAACAATGAAATCTAAGAATAAAAAAATTTTATTAATACTATTATATATGCATTTTATCAAATAAAGAAATTATTTATACTTTATTGAACTATAAATTTTCTTATTATTGTATTTTTATTATTGTTAAACTTTTAAATTATTAAAAGTTATTTTGAATATGCTTATCAGATATGCTCAAAGTCAGAGAGAAAAAAATGCCATCTTTGATTGGTTTTTGCTAGTAAAGAGTTCTCTACTTTTTCTGAAAATTCTGCAGGCAGGTGTAATAGTTCTGCCCACTCATTTAGTTCGTGGCCAATTTTTAAGTATGAAAGTCAGGGAACGATCAAAGTCATGTGATTTTTCTTTAGGATATTAAAATTTTGGAATTATCAATTTGTGATTGTTTTATTACTGCAACAGGAAAATTTTATTATCTCAATGCATATAAGCCTTTTTTTCTGATCTACACTACATACACGTTAAAACATCATGAGCCTGATATGAGTAAAACAAACTTATTCAAATGCCTTATTAATATAATTATACGTGAAAAATTATATTAAATGGAGTTCCTGGTATTCCTTGTAATCTAACTTACTACAGAAATATTAATTCAGAATTTGTTAAAGCGTCATGAGTCCTCGAAGCTTTAGAGGGTGATGCATCAACAGGAGATTCACTTACACCAACGTGAGTTTTGGTAAAGGGAACAATCTTCTATTATTTGACTCTGTCATGCCAAAAATAAAATAAGCATGGAATACATAAAAATAATACATTAAAAGCTGTCAAATTTTATACCTTGAATAATTGATCCTTAGTACTTGGAATACTGAATTCTGTTAGAACATCAACAACATGTAGACCTCCATTTGTTCGATGCATTACATAAAATGCAAACTTTCGCTCTAAGATTGATTAAGAAAATACAAGGCTTAATAACCTTTAATGAAATTTATGGGCCCTAGATCTATGTTACTTACAGTAGACAACAATTCCATATGACTCTATAGAAGATACTTCTTGTTCTGTTGCTCCACGTGATATAAAATGTTGACGTTGGTAATGAATAGAAATTTGCATACACTTATGCACTTTTTCTTAATTTTTTGATGTCAGTATAAAGGGCGTTGCCAACAACCTCTAAGAACCCTACTTCCATAATAGTAGCATTAGTAGCATTTACATTGATAGAGTATATCCCGTCCTGGGAACACCCCATGGTGATCCGCTAAATAATAAATTAATAATAAATATTAAAGATTCCTGAATTTAATAACAATAAAATTTAAAAAAAATAAATAAATAAAAACATACTTCTCTGATATAATTGACTGAATTTATCGTCAAATCTTAAGGATTCCTTGAATCGAATTGGACCATTTGTTCCATTAAAATCTCTTCTTGACATTGTATAGAAAAAGTTGCTAGCATCTTTGTGATTTGTGAAACGAATTAAGCATAACTAAATTTATAGATGATCAATTTAATGTTAATTAATTCAAATTACCCTTTTTTAACGAATGCTTCCACAAAAGAAGCGAAGAAGTACTTCCAATAATGAAGTTTTTTTTTCGGAAGGAAGACATAACCAAAATCAGTAGGCCTTCCCGAAAAAACTTTCTCGGATCTTAAACACAACTTACCTTCAGTCATAATTTAATACAAGACGGCTACATTATGTAAAGTATTTCAAAACAACTAAATACGATTGGTATTCAGCAAATATTTCAATACGACTAATTACGTTAAGTACTTTAGTTAATTTAAACAAGAAATCACGCGTCTGATAGTTAGTTCTACACGCGTGTGGACAGACGAGAAATCCGGATGGACTTTGCCTGAAATGTCCTACGCTTACGCTTCAGACAATAACATATTTTGTATATCTGTTAATTTTTAAGTGGAAAATTAGCTTTTGATCCTCAATTTTTATTTCACAACCTATCACGTGTCTTAATATTTAATCTGCATGTTGTAAATTGAAGTTGAATCTTAATCGTAAATAAATTTTCACTCAATATGGTTCGAAAATTAAAATATCATGAACAAAAATTGCTCAAGAAAGTTGATTTCCTTCAGGTAAATTAAGAAATTTTATCTTATTAATTTTATTTATTTTATTATTTTTTATTATTTTTATTTATATTTTTCTAATTTTATTTTCACAATTTTTCTAAATATACTTTTTTGTATTTCAGTGGAAGAATGAGGATAATATAAGAGAAATAAAAGTAATTCGTAGATATCATTTACAAAAACGAGAAGACTATCATAAATACAATAAATTATGTGGTTCAATAAAAAAACTTGCTAATCGTATATCATTACTTGATCCAAGAGATCCTTTTAGAAGTAAACAAGAAACTTCTTTATTGGATAAATTATATTCAATGGGCCTAATTACTAGCAGAAAACAATTTAGTCAAGTTGATAAGATAAATGTTTCAGTTTTTTGTAGGTGAGATTGAGAGAAAGTTGTATAGTAATTTATGATTGATTGAGATTAATTTGATAATGTATTTCTTTTTCTTTTCGAATTTCCCATAGGCGAAGATTACCTATTGTAATGTGTCGATTAAAAATGGCAGAAAATGTTAAAGAGGCTGTTACATTTATAGAACAAGGCCATATCCGTGTGGGACCTGAAACAGTTACTGACCCTGCCTATTTAGTTACAAGGTATATAATTCATAGTTTTTTTAAATTTTGATTTACCTAATTTAATTATTATTATTTATTTTAGAAATCTTGAAGATTTTGTAACGTGGGTAGACACTTCCAAGATTAAAAGAAAGATTATGAAATATAATGATAAGGTAATATTGAATCCTTCGAAAAAAATTTTTTTTTCTTTCTTTGTTAATTAACTAATTAATTGATTTATATATTTAGCTTGATGATTATGATTTATTATAATTATAAATTTGCATTGAAACATTGAAACGATTTATCAATATTATTATTTATCATGGAGTAAATGTTAGAATAACATGTGTTACAGTAGTTAAAAGTATCTTATTCTTAGAATTTTTTACATGGAAAAAATCTCGGTATTTTTATTTCACTGAAAAAGATTAAATATAAATTTCAAACCAACAAAAAAAAAAGAACCTGAAATTTTTATTTTTCTTCAATGATTCTCTCTTATAAAATATTAAAGTTTACTACACACGAAGGTAAGCTAAAAAAAACGCACAAGAAAAATACTAAAGCAAAAAAATTATTAATCGTAAACAAAAAGAAACCCACAAATTCAAAGTTAACAAATACCATAACTTTAACCGTTTAACGCCATAATCTTTAAGAAAGAAGTTTAAAAATCAATTTCTATCTAAACTAAAACTAAAACTAAAAACTAAAACTAAATTGAGAATACCAAGCAAACTAAGACTAATTTTAAAATTAATCCCTAAAAAAAACTAAGATTCACTCTATCTTTTCTTCAACAAAGAGGAGAAATTCGAAATATAAAAAGAAAGAGAAAAAATAACTTCTTAAAATATCTTCAATTAAAAAAATTTTTATCCTTCGATTAATTTCCCCTTCCCCCCCTAAATAAAGTTCTTTTCGTAAAATTTAAAATAAAATATATAAACTCTTATGAAAAAGTTTATATATATAAAGAAAAAAAACATACACTGCATAATAATAATAATAAAAAAAAAAAAATAATAAATTATGTACAAGGAAGAAATTATAAAACGGGTGATAATGATGAAAAGGGTAGTAAAATTGTATTAAGTTTAATTTTTTTTTTTTTTTTATAGAAAAGAGATATAAAAATATATACAGAAAAATAATAATAATTCGCTGTTTATATTATTAATGAATTATGCATCAACTTTCTTTTTGTGGTGTCGGCACCCGCATTGATGTAATAATATGGTTTATAGGGAATAAAAGGTAATGGCGTATTATAAATTTTATATATGATAAGGAAAGAAAGAAAAGGGAAAAATGAATAAAATGTAATAGTGAGTAGAAAAGAGTCTATAAAAAAAACAATTTTACAAATTAGGTAGTAGCATGGTATATAATAATAATAAAGATTGAAAGGAAGACGAATGCGGATTTACAGTATATGCGTGTATGATGGTCTATGTGTAAAGGAAATAAAAAAGAGAAATAAAAAGGAAAAGAGTATGGCAAAGAGAATATAAATAGTTCATCGTGTACTTAAGAAGTTTCGCTATATATAATTTTTATAATTTTGAACACAGAATTTACATAATAAGGTAATGTAATAAATTTAATAATCACATCAATTATTTGAGTTTAAGGACTAAGGCTATAGTTTTCGTTACATGTGACATCCCAGTTCTGCGGCAAACCAATCCAAGAAAACGACGTGATATAGACCTTCCCATTTACTCAAGAATTTCTTGTTCAAGAAGTTTTGGCTCAACTGGCGTTTCCAACTGATAATCTCGACCTTCCAACCACGTTCTAGAGCCTTAATTACACATTTATGAAAGCCTCCCTCGAAATATTCTGCATCTTTTCCATCTCCACTGGCAAGGACCAAAGTAGCTGGAGCATGATAATCTAGCAAAGATTCCAGAATCTTGAGATGGAGTAGCTCATCAACACATTGTTCTTTCTCCATCTCAAAAGGTGATTGATAGTCATTAAAATCTGTTTGGGTCGAGTTAGAATCACTTTTAACACGTTTTAAAACGGAAACTTCGTAACCAGCTTGATCCGCTTTTTCGAGTGGTTGATATAATGGCGAAGAAGCTACTAAAACTCTACGTGCGATATTCCTTTCACGTTCTAGTATGGTGAAAAGAGCATTATAATCTAACGTGGGTTTTGACCTTTGGCCCGAAAGTCCTTTCGGACGTTTTGCATGTTGTCTACAATACGCCAAGAATCCAACCAAGATGTTAGAATTATCAATGAAAACGTGGATAGGATCATCCGATATTGTGATTGGAATTGGGACACTAAAACGGAATGTCTTAGTCGTATTGTATATCTTTGGATTATTTAAAACCAAATCTGATTCCTTAACATTATTATACCTGGATCGAGAGTTTACTTGAATAGATTCATTGAAATGAACCTTTTTTACGCCGTCAATAAGCTATCAAAATTCAAAGAATATTATTTTTTTTTTTAGTATATTATTATTATATAGAACCAAAAAAGGAAATATATTTATCTTACCGTTCCCACAGCCACATCAGCTTTGGACTCGTTTGTAGTTGCAGTTTTTTTACCCTTCTTTTTGTTAGGTGATCCCTTTCCTTTACTAACTGTTACAATACCTTCAACCTTCTTCTTTGATGATTGTTGTACTGCTTTATGCACTTTAGATTCAGCAACCACTATTTCTTCTTCAGAAGAGTATTCGGAAGAAGAAGAATGAGGTAACTGTGGAGGTTGCTTTGTTTCGCTTTCTATTGATTGAACATTTAATATACTTTCAATGTCCAGAGGTGCCGGTATATTCGAGTTACACCATTTTGCTTTTTCACCCTGCAGAAATAGCCACAAGCCACCGAAATCTCCTAAACTTAGATTTTCTTGCGTCGTTTCCTCCTTTAAATATGACAACGAACTTTTGGATGAAGCAGCACGTGATGAGGAAGACTGAGTTTTGGACTTCTTTGAGCGTGTCATGTTGATATTTCTATTGTTTTTTACAAGTTATTCTCAAAAAAAAAAAAAAAATACTACTTTCAACAATCTATTTAGAAATCTCAACTGATAAGAATATTATTATAATTGTGAAAAATAAGGGGAGTTCGTTAAACATGCTTGACATGAGATATTTATATACATTTTTATGCAGGCTAGTCTTGATCAAAAATGCAATGTGAATTTCCTATTGAATTAAGTTTGTGTCACTATGAACAAAGAACGGACAGCATACCCCTGTACTACTTCAAAAAAAATACCCCAGTAGAATAATTATTCCAGTTTTAGTATATGATCAGCACATACAATTTCCTGTTGGCGTTCTAATTCATTTGTTTTCCGCAGTCCACTTCGGTAAAACTATATTCGGTAGAAAAACTGACACGCCCATCAAGTTCATTATGTGAATTATGGGATACATGTCCCAATTGTCCCATTGAAAATGATGTAAATAGAAAATTATTATTTTCTCATATAAATATATTAAATATGCCAAATACAAGTTTCAGATGATAATTTATTTATACATTTATTCTTTAACATCTGTTTATACATTTCAATCAATTTTTTCAGCCTACAAGCTTTCACAAATACAAATTCGTTTCAAAAAAAAACGTGTCCATTCCGACGCGCGCAATCGGGTTTTGTGCACCAATCAGAAATAATTTATAATTATATGATATGACTCATTTCCATAAAAAAATTCTGGTATGTTCTAAAAATAGCTTAGGAAATCGATGAAATCATAGTTGAAATCATAAGTGATCATATTTGTAAAATCTTGGTTCACATGATGTGTTTTCTTTGATTGGTTAATTTTTTTTTCATAAAAATTTCGAGATAATAGATTTTTCTTTCCTCCTTCAAATCTGGTTTGATCGTTTTAAAAGTGGTTATTATACATAATGGTTTGTCATTTATTTTTTATATGAAAATGATTATGTTATTTTTTTATTATAAGGCTTCGGATAAATTAATTTTATTATGATTGAGCTGGTTAATGTTAAATAATGTAGAAATTTGGTCAATTTGATATTTGATCAATAATTAATTCAAAAGATTCATCATCGAATTATCTTCTCTTATAGTCCATTCTCTTTAAGAAAATATCCGTCAATTTAATTAGTTTTATTTTTTATTTTTATTTTTCATAAATTTTTTTTTTTGATAGGTAAACGTTCCGAAAACCAGAAATACCTATTGTAAAGGTAGAAATTGCAAAAGGCACAGACCACATAAAGTCTCCCAGTACAAGAAGGGTAAAGATTCTTTGTATGCTCAAGGTATTTCAAATTTTATATAATTATTTTTAAATTAAACACATTCTTTTAGGCAAATTTAATGTAATTTATTGATACATACTGTACATACATATACACGCACATTTTTTAAAAATGTTGGAAACAGGTAAAAGACGTTATGATCGTAAACAATCCGGATATGGTGGTCAAACTAAACCCGTATTTCACAAGAAAGGTAAAATTTAACGCTTTTTTTTACCTTGATTTCATGATTTATTTTAAATTTATTATTAATTTTTTTTAAAAAAAAAAATTATAGCCAAAACTACAAAAAAGATTGTACTTCGTTTAGAATGTCAGAGTTGTAAGGTATGATCATAATGATAATCAATATTAATTTATATCAAACATATTTTATTTATCCTTTAACTTAATTAATAGTTTAAACATCAAATTGCACTCAAACGATGCAAGCATTTCGAACTTGGTGGTGACAAAAAGGTATGCTCGGTTATTAAATTAGCCAACAAATTCAAAAATAAATAATTACTAACGCTACTTTATTTCATCATATAGACCAAGGGTGCTGCTCTTGTATTTTAAGTTACTTATAAAACAACATTTCCTATTTTATTTCGATAATTATTAAAAAAAAAAAAGATAGTACACATTTTTTTAATGATGTAAGCAAAGTTATTGATTAATAAAATTTGCTACATTAGAGCAAAAAAAAAAATTTGGCACAATAATTTTATAGAAAGTGAAATTTAATTTAAACAATATTATATTATTACTTGTTTTTACATTGATATTTTATATCACTATTGGTATCACTTTCCCTCATCCCCCCAACCACTGTCATAATCACCGATATAATCTGGCCACCCATTTGTTGTGATGGCAGTATTTGTAGTAGTTGTAACCCAATTTTGATCATCATTATTATAATTTGGACTAGAAAGAATCTCATCACCACCATGATACTCGTAATCATCATCATAATCATCATAATCTTCTTCTTGATGATCATAAGAATCTAAATGATATTCTCTATGTACGATTATTTCTTCGTCATTTAACAATGTAAAATCAGAACTTGACCTTAATACGTCACGTAATTTATCTTTGGTCTTACAAAGTTGTCTAATTCTATGGATATCCCAAATTTCTTCAATTTTAATACGATTTGGTTCATGCTGTTGATCATTTTTAATATTTGTAGTATCTATTATTCTATTGCATAAAAATTGTAAATAATAATGAATTGTTTCAAGAATTTCTTCATAACTCTTATCCGGTTCATTATAATAAGGAAAATCAATCTTCTCAATATGCTCATATGTATCAAATGACGATAATAATGGTTTTGATGATGGATTTAAATCTCGGAATATCGCGATTTGTGTGACATTCCCTACTGCTGGATCACCATATTTAAGTTTACCTACTCCAGTATATTCTACAGAATAATTATATTTTTTTGCACCAGAATTTCCCCTTAATTTTAAAATAAATAAAAATAAGTTAATTACTATTATTAATATTTTAAAATTTTATTTATCACTTACCATTCTTGAAATTCCTTTCTTGTCCATTCAAAGCGATGGTCTTCAATTCTTAGCGTAGCCTCAGGTGTTCCATATTTTAATTGCGGAAAATAAACATTAAATTCTACATTCGGTGTTGTTACTATAACAATCTTTGGTTTGTAAGTACCAAGTACTATATCAAAAAATTTATCCAGCACGGGGGGATCAACATGCTCTACTCTTGTTTTAAAAAGTAGGAGAAAAGAATATTTATATAATAGAATCGAGCAAAAAAACAAATTAAGATATACATACACTTCCATACAAACAAGCGCATCAAATCCAAGAAATCTTTTATCCGCTATATCGATGCTTCCTAATAAATTGGAAGATGAATATCCAACAAAAAAGAGTCAAATTTTCAAGAATTGAAATTATAATTTTATTAAAATAGTATATATATATATATGTATGTACCTTGATATATATCTACAGTTAATGGAGTTAATCTCAAAAATTCAACATCATGATCCCAAGGACGACAATTCTCCACGGCTTGTTCAGCTATTTCACGATTTATGTCAACACCAGCAAGCCGTGTGATAGGTGATTCTTCAAAAGGTTGAATAAGAAAAGATAAAAGTGATCCCTCTCCACAACCAAAATCCACCACCTATTGAAGAAGAAATATTAATTTTATATTAGCAAAATTTTTTTTCTTTTTCTTTTTCTTTTAAAAAAAAATTATTTAAAGTTCATAATACCGAAGTAACTTTACTCTCTCGTAAAACTTCGTTGACAAAACTTCGCCTTTGTCTCCATAATGGTGGGTCGAAATAAACGAGATTCTTATCTTCTTCTTCCCCTTCCATTTTTTCCTATTGTGCAGATATTGAAAATTGAAAAGAAAGGTCGATTTTCAGAACATTTAACAGTTGATCAGCGATAAAAAAGAAATCAACGTATGACAAAATTTACAAAATTTATGTTGTTTCAACAACCTTGAACTATATTGTAAAAAACAAAAAAAAACAAAAAAAAAATGAATTTTTTGTATGTTTTACGAAATAGAAATTATATAAATATAAAATTTTTTTTTTTTAAAAAAAAAAATAGACTATGCATAGCAAACAGATAGATCCTGAGGCTTATTCACCGCATTGATGACTATTAATGTGGCAATGTTTGATTACGGAAAACAATTGTTTTATTTCGTCAAGCCGAGTTTTTAAACTGAAGTTTTTTTTTGATCGGCTCTAAAAGATACACGTGATTTATTCATTTCAACCGACCTTACATAGCGTTCGCCCGGGTGACTCTAGGATTGTTCATTTCAAATCATTAACTCGGGCCGAATTTGTTGTGCTTCACCATATTCTTTTTTTTTTTTTTTGAATGGTAAGAAAGCTATACATTTATATATATAGTTGAAAATTTGAATTATTTATAAAATCTTACAAAAAAGGATCGAATGTAAAATTATCATATTGTGCTTATTACACAAAAACCTCGTGAATTTGCAGCAGAGTTGCATAATTTCAAACATTTTTAAAAACTTTATATTTTATATTTGACGCCTTTTTTTTTTTTTTTAAAAAAAAAAATAAATTTTAAGAATATCACCTTTATATTATTTACGCCATTTTATCAAGTATATCTTAATTAAATGGCAATGGCGTATGCAAGACACCTTTCTTTTCCTGCATCGTTTCTAAGATAGAAAAATTTTTTTGAGTATTTATTCAATTTAGCCAAATTTAAACACAAAGTTTTTAATAATTTAAAGAAAGAAAAAAGGGTTCTTTGTTAAAAAGGAATGCATATTTTTTTCGACTTTAGAGCTGATTTATTATTCTGAACCTTAAAGGCCGATAGATATTCAATGGAAACTAACGGTAAATTCATCTACTTGTATAAAAGATATAATCACAATAACACAGTAAATTATTGGCCCATTTCACATGATATTTCACTTTATGTAAAATGTTATATGTTATTCATTCTATATTTAACACTATTAATATAATTAATATTACTTAAATAATTAATTATTTAATTGACCAATTAATTCGACTTAACGCTAATTGAGCTCACCAATGAACTTGTTTTGTTTCTTTGTTTCTCTTGTTGGATATTTTATTAATCGTAGAAATTATTTCACTCGTATTGGAAATAAATTCGGTTAAAAGTTTTTATTCTTTGTATTTTGGTGTTTGTTACTCAGAATATTCTATTCATTGACATTTACATTGGTCGTTACGAATAAACTGAGCTTTTATGTTTGACCTATAAACAGACTGAACGCGATCACGTTTTATAAGTCACGTGTAATAAATGGATCTTTTATAAATTTACAGTATGATTGATCAGAATTTAAGAAGACAATTAAGACAATTTCACTAATGAGAAGTCTATACGTGATGTAAATTCCACCAATCTAAGGCTGGCTGGCTTTGAATTTAGGGCAATCGAAATTTTAGTGAAATATATGAAATATATAAGTGATTTGATTTTATTAGTATATCACATTTTAATAATTCATTAATAGAAGATTAATATACAGTATTATGAAGAATCAATAATGCTAAATAATAAATACGCAAGTAATAATTATCATAATTGTGTCACATGTTGTAATAAAAAATCTTCCACCGCAATACTGTCGCTAAATTCATTACTTTTATACTTTGGATTCTCCACATCTTGCAATAACAAAGTTTCAACTGCAATATCATCACTAAATTCATTAAGGTTATTATCATACTTTTGAATATCTTTCGTATAAGGATTAAGTAATCGTGATGTATAAATAGCTTGAGGATGTTGTTTATCATAATAAAGATATAACCTACGTTTTTCTGCTATTCTAAATTGTTTTTCATATTCATAATGACACGTTTTTTTTGAAGCGGTAAATGATTCTTCAAATGAATCTGCTAAATCGGCAATTTCAGTTAAATTTGGTCTATTTTCTGGATTAGAATCCCAGCACTTTTTCATTAAATCAATATAACATTTTGGTTCTTCAAACTCGTGTATTTCAGGTCTCAATCCATTGATTATATTAAATGCTAAAACCTCATTGTGAGCATGATTCGCAAAAGGTTGTCTTCCTGTCATTATAAAATACATGATCATACCAAAACTATATATATCCGCTGCTTGCGTATAAGGTTTACCACTTAACACTTCGGGTGCTACATAAGGCATAACTCCATAAACGTTGTTTTTATCTTTATCATCAATTCTTCCACTAAATCCCATATCTGAAATAAATATATTGGTCCCATGACTCTCATCATTATTATCGTACATAAATAATATATTTCCAGTATGAAGATCACGATGAACCATCTGAATTTGATGAATAACCAGAAGACCATCAATTATATCAGATAATGTATCTATTTTATTTTTCCACTCAAAATCTTCATGATTCTTTCTCATCCAATCACTAAAATTTCCACCTTCCGCATATTCACTGATCATAACATATTCTTTTGTATCAGGATTTTGAGATATTCCATATACACTAAGAATATTATCGTATCTATTCATTGAATATGCTTTAATCTACATACATAAAATAAAAACTTACTTTTAATTATATTTAGAAAGTTATTGTTTGTAATAAAAAAAAAAAAGAAAAAAAAAAATATTTATACCTCATTTAAAAATTCAAGAGTGATATTTTGTGAATTGAATAAACATTTTAAAGCAACTTTTTTATTTGGTATTCTTTCATATCTCCTTTCTTCAACATAACAATTTTTATTATATATTAATGGACCGTCCTTCCATATTGCCGAATATATTATAGAAAAACCACCTTGTCCTATTTTTTTAACATCACTAAACTGATTATATGGTACCCATTCAAATACTATATTATCTCTACAATTAATAACTGATTGAACTTCTTGAATGATATTATTGATTTTTTCGTTTTCACTAGTCCAATTTATAAAATTTTTTTTTAAATAATCCAATTGACACATTCTACACCATTTATGGGTTACATTTATTTGATATTGTATTCTATCCACTGCATTAATATCTTTTTCACCGCATTTTTCGCAATAATTGTCTTGACAAACAATAATATAATCTTTTGTATATGGATATTGAGATATCCCATATATTTTAATAATATTATTACTCTCAAAACTACTATATTTAAATGAATATTGTTTAACCTTTAAAAAATAAAAAAATAATTAATTATTAGAATATATACCGTTAATATGTATTATTTTAAATTCATACCTCATTAAAAAATTCATCAGTATTATTATGTGAGTTATGTAAACATTTTAAAGCCACCCTTTTGTCTGATTTTCTCATCCATTTGTTTTCATTATAATCATAATATACTGGACCATCTTTCCATATTGCTAAATATTCTGTAGCAAAATTGTTTTTATTCATTTCTTTAAAATCATTAAATTGTTCATATGGTATCCATTCAACTACTATATCATCATGGTGATTAATTTTTAATTGCATCTCTTGAATTAATTTATCAATTTTTTTATTTTCACTGGTCCAATTTGTAAAAGTAAAATTGTTTTTTAAATAATTTAAGGAACATAATTTACACTGTTTATTAGACATATCTGGATCACCACATTGTTTGCAATACCCATTTTGAAGAACCATAATATAATCTTTAGTATCTGGATTTTGAGATATTCCATATATATGGAGAGTATCTTTATCATTATTATTTGATAAATATTTTTTAACCTATTAAAGAATGAAAAGATGATTTATTGTCAATAAAAAAAATTGTTTTATAAAATTAGAAAAATTTCGTACCTCACTTAAAAATTCACAAATTTTGTTTTGTGAATTATATAAACATTTTAAGGCAACATTTTCATTTGAATTTCTCATAAATTCCTTATTATTATCATCATAATATAGTGGTCCATCCTCCCACATTGCTGAATATATTTTATTAAATCCCTTTTTACTTATCTCTTTAATTTCATTGAATTGATTGTACGGTATCCATTCAAATATTTTGTCATAAAAATTATTAATATTTAGCTGCCTTTCTTGAATAAAATTATCAATTTCTTCATTTTCACTACTCCAGTTTATGAAATTATCTTTAAAACGATCCATTTGGCACGATTTACACCATTCATAATCTATATCCGTATATATTTCGCCACAATTTTTGCAATTATGTTCATATAAATTATTAAAAACTATGATATAATCCATCGTATCTGGATTTTGAGATATTCCATATATCTTATAATCAATACCTATAATGAGCATATATTTATGCTTTAAATATTTTTCGACCTAAAAAATAAACAAAATTATATTACAAAGTATTTAAATTAAAAATTGTAAAGAAATTCATAATTCATACTTTATCTAAAAATTCATCCATAATATTTTGTGAATTATAAGAGTTATTTATACACCTTAAAATAACATTTTCATCTGAATATCTTGACCATTCCTTTTCACTATCATCGTAATATAATGGACCATTCTCCCATATTGCCGAATATTCTGTAGCAGAATCAATTTCGTTTATTTCTTTAATATCATAAAATTGATTATAAGGTATCCATTCTAATATTGGATCATAATATTTATTAATGTTTAACTGTATTTCTTGAATATAATTATCAATTTTTTCATTTCCGCTAGTCCAGTTTATAAAATTATCTCTCCAATAATTTAATTGACATGGTTTACACCATTCGTATTTCGCATGATCTTCATCTATATATTTTTCACCACATTTTTCGCATTGACCTGTATATATTTTAAAAATTTATTAATATAATTTTTTTATATATGTAGAGTACAGTATATTAAGTATCGCTAACTTGTTAATATATTATCTGTCTGATTTAATATGAAAGAATGATCATCAGAATTTTTGAGTCAGAAAAGTCTTCTTCAAATTCCTTTATATCATCGTCTGACTCTAACATTATGGATGATGAAGACTCTGATATTATGGATGATGAGAAATTGTTTATATAGTGTGATGTTAAAAGAAAGAAAGCGTACAAAATGCCAAACTGCAGATCAAACAAATTACATTTCTAATTTATACATATTACGGTAAGTTTGATTGGCCGAAAAAGCTATTAGCGTGACTGTGGTAAAAATGTTTCAATTTTATAATCAACTTTACTATCCTAGTTTGTTCTTTTTCATAATCGTGGTTCGTTCTTTTCAATTGCTATATAACAACTAACAAAGATATCTTAGCTTTACAGCTAAGAAAATGGTAATACACAAATACACAATGAAGATAGAGCAGATTTCATCGTGAAAATGATGCAACATATACTGTATATGTATCCAATTAAAAATTAAACTTATCAAATTTCATTTTTTTTTTATCTGCCCAAATTAATCTTTGATGACAATTTGTACCATTGCATGAAAGTCCGCTCGTGTCAAAATAATCCCTCTGATAAATTCTTGAATCGATAACAATTACTAAAGTACAAAAATTCAAAAATATAAAATAAATTTAGAAAAAAAATAATAACTGTAGCACAAGTAAGCCTTAAAGTCTAAAGCTTAAGATGGTTATTGAAGAAAAACAGTTAATATAATCGTTAGTTTTAAGAATCCTGGTTCCTTTTCTTCCTTTATGACTAATAAGATGGTCCTATCTTTTATTTGACGTTGAAGTAAACTTGCCGAACAGACAAAAATACACTTATTGTATACTTTTTTTAAAAAAAAGAACTTTTTTTTACAAATTTATTGTTTAAAGTCACGTGATACTTGTATGAACACCCATTGTAAATTAAGAAATTAATATAAAATTTGGCCAAAATTAAATTCATTAAATTTTTCTATTTAATTTAAGCAGTCAATCTGGTATTAATCTATTGCTTATTCTGACTGAAAAAGAAATGCAATTTGTTATCACGTTATTAACACATTACAACTATAAATTGAGATTAATTTAATTCTTTTGTTATATTCTCCTCTTGATCATTCTTCTCTTTCTTTTAGCTTTTAATTCCTAAAGTTGTCAATTCTTCATTATTAATCCATTTAGTAAACATTTCTAAAGAACTTACGGGTTGATAAGCAGGAACCTCATGACCTGCTTCGTATATTCTTATAAATGTTAATTTATCAAAAGATTTAATTTCTCCAGCAGGTTTATTACCAACTATCCATTTTTTCATTGGAGCATTATTGAAATCTGATTGGTGGGACCATATCAATGACTTTGCTAATTCTGTTCCACTGAACCTAAAAGAAAGGGTAAAGTTAGTTAATAAAAACTGATACTTTAGACATAAAATAATGGATATTTTATTTACTTGCCAATTACATATATAATCTGCATCTCCATAATATAATAATACAGGAAATCCCCTGTAGAGAAGATATTCGACATCATACTTATTGCTTTGCACCCTAATAAAAATTATCAAAAAATAAAGCATGAAGTATTCTATATTTAATTACAAGAAAATATATTATTGTATACATTTTTTTAAAAAGAAAGAAAAGTGGCGGTTCCACCCGTTAATTTACTTACAAATCTCCTTGAAGGATAAAACGAATGTAAATATCATCTATACAATCAGTGTAATTTTTAAATACTCCAATAGCTGTTCTTATTTCAGGTCTAGCCAAATATAATTTATAATCATTTGGCGGAAAAGTATCTTTTGTAGTATTGAGAGTCCTAATATCATATGCATTTAATCCGGTATTAACAAAATGAGAATTAAAATCACCAAATTCACAAAGTTGTTCTGCTAATATGCAATCAGTTAAATTTCCCGTTTTATAACAATTGTCGACTGATGAAGAAAAACATTTGTAGTTTACATTTTTTAGGAAATTGTTAGAATAATTAGTTATAAAATCATTAAATGAAATTTATGAAGCTCACCTGATTGTTCACATTCAACCAAATCTGATCGCATCGCTACAAGTTCACTTGAATTTAGTATAGGGCCATCTAGTAAAATAAATGTTAGATAAAGCATATCAATATAAGTAAATTACGTAATTAATTGTAATAAATTTATACCCAACCTACATGTGTTAAATTCTAAAAAATCTGGATATGATTTACTACGTGGAAAGTATTGTTTAGTATTGTTTAGTTAATATATATATTTGTGTGTACGTAAAATATAAGAATAAATTTTAAAGAATATTCACTATATTATTTTAGGATCAATCCAACCATTTCCAATTCCAACAGATTTAAGATTAATTGGTATTGCTTTCAAATTATTAGACTTAATTAAAATATTATTTTCGTCTATCAATTTCGCAATAGAAGGTACTAATAATGTGTGATACGATTACTACAAAGTATAAATATAGATTGTGGTGAAGAAATTTTGAAATGAATTAAAACTTACTGTAATGTCCTGCAAAAGATTCACCAAAAATATGGAAATCCATTTTAGAATATTTTGGAAATTTTTCAAAGAATTTTTGTAGAAAAGCGTATAAATTTAGAGTGGATTGTTCTGTTGTTGATATGTTTATATCTCCAAATGAAAATCCTGTACCAACAGGCTGATTTAAAAAGAATGAATTAACATAATGTTTACGGTAATATTCTATTTAAACCAGATACTGTATTTAATATCTACCTGATCAATAAATAACAAATTAGAAACTTGGTTCCAACTTTCAGGAAATATTTCTACATCTGACCCTCCTACTAAAGATCTACAAGGACCCATTTCTTGAAATAATCCTATCATTGAAGAACATCCCGGACCTCCATTTAACCACAACGTTAATGGAGAAGTTTGAGGTTTATTTCTTGATTCAAAAAACCAAAAAAATAAGTTTGTAAATTGATCGACTTTTATATAGCCGGAATACTACAAGGGCAAAGAATTTTAAGTTAACTTTTGATATATGGAAAATTTTCCCTCTTCTTTACCTGTTTAACGTTTGGATCGCATAATTTGCTTGATACGATATTATAAATAGGGTCTATTGTAAAAAATGTTAATCATGCATATAGTTAAATCCATATAATTTACGTGGCGATTCACTTGCGAAACCAAACCTTTTACTACTCCCGCATCAACGGTTCCAATCGTTAACATATGCCATGTTATTAAGGTAACGAAAATGATGAATGAGCAAGATAATTGACCGGATGGTTTAGTTATAAGATTCATCCTTTTTTTTAAAAAAAAAAATTCTTAATCGCAAATATATGAGATGGAGTACCTTAACGTCATAAGAATAAGGTACAATTTTTTATGGGTAGGATATTCATTCTTTATATAATTTTTAATTCGGGAATTCTCTTTTCGATTGCAAGTATAAATAAATATATGTAATGTGACAAGCAACAAAAACAACAAAAATGCAATTATCTAATAATAAATCTTTAAAATCAGACTTTTTATTTTAGCTCTTAATTTAATTTTTGTTTATAGAAACAGAACCATAATATTTTTATGTCAATGAAAAAAGGTTAGGCCCCTGATTTCCTGATGTACACATACTTCCGTACTCCGAATAGCCGAAACAAACAAATAAAAAAAAGGCAGCTTTTACCATATATGGAGGGTTTTTTTTTTATTTACATGGTTTTTTTTATAATTTTTTTCTGTATATCATAGGCACAGAGTATTCAATAGGGAGGTTGAATGATTGTGCTACGCAGCGGCGCATGACAATGATCCCTAATTTTCCCCATATTTTCCTTTATTGCCGGGTCTACCGGATATATAAAAACTATTTCGGCTTGCTTAGATTGTAACAGATTATTGAAAATATTACCAAATTTATTACAGAGGTGCGCTAATATCACACGATTAATGAATTTAATTAAAGGATAATGACGAAAATCAAATAATTAAGAATATTATGAATAATTTAATTATATGGCTGTTAAAGCTTCATTATAGATCCATTTGGTAAACATTTCTAAGGAATTTACAGGCTGATAAAAAGGCATTTCATGACCTGCATTATAAATTCTAATAAATGTTAATTTATTAAAAGAAATAATTTCTCCTGCGGATTTATCGCCAACTATCCATTTTTTTATTGGAGTATTATTAAAATCTGATTGGTGGGACCATATTAATGCCTTTGCTAATTCTATTCCACTGAACCTAAAAGAAAAAAAACATATTTATTTAATAAAAAACGTTTAAATAGGAAAGAAATGGATAATGCTGATTGTATTTACCAGTTACAAATATAATCAGCATCGCCGTAATATAATAATACAGGAAAGCCTCTGTTAAGAAGATATTCAACATCTGCTTTATAACTATATGACCTGATAAAATTATTGAAAGATAAAATAGATAATTATGAATATATTTCTTTTCAAAAAAAAAAAAATTATATATAAAATGTTTACTTACTTATCACCATTAGTGTAAAAAAGGTCAAAAGTATCCATCGAGCAATTAACATAATTTTTTTGCGCACCGATTGCTTTCATTACTTCAGGGTTAGCCAAATACAGCATATAATCACTTGGCGGGTAAGTATTTTTTGTCGTTATAGAAGTTCTGATATCATAAGGATTTAATCCAGTTTTTATAAAGTAAAGATCAGACGCCAAGATGCAAAAATTTTCCGCTGATATGCAATCTTTCACAATTCCTGTTGTATAACATTTGTCGACTGGCGAGGAAAAATAAAGGCGAAAAATAAAATGAGAAGTTATTAGGGTTGCAGAATTGTTAGCAGGAATTCTCGAAAGGATTTAAAGACTTACGTAATTGTTCGCATTCAGGTAATAATGATCTCATTTCCGCTAGATCACTTGAATTTAATAAGGGACCGTCTAGTAAAAAAATCATTACACGGCAACGTAAATTAAGTTGTGTAATAATTTCTAAAAAATATTGATAAAGGTTTCTAAACTTACATGAATTAAATTCTAAAAAATCTGGATAAGATTTACTACACGTCAAGCAAATATTAAATGATATCAGATATGCATGTAATAAACATAAATGATTAAATATCTAAAAACAAAAAAAATATTTACTATAAAATTTTAGAATCGACCCAACCATTTCCAATTCCAACAGATTGAAGATTAATTGGGATCGCTTTTAAATTATTAGAATTAATTAAAATATTATTTTCGTCAATCAATTTTGCAATTGAAGGTACTAATAATATATGTGACGCAATAAAAAAATGATGTTATTATAAAAGTACGAATAGAGATTGTGATAAAAAAATGTTGAAATAATCAAATATCTTACTGTAGTGTCCTGCATAAGATTCACCGAAAATATGAAAATTCATTTTAGAATATTCCGGAAATTTTTCAAAGAATTTTTGTAAAAATATGTACAAATTCTTAGAAGATTGTTCCGTTGTTCCTACGGTTCTATCTCCAAATGAAAATCCTGTATCAACAGGCTGTAATAAAAAGAATGAGCTAGTGTAAATAATTAATACAAATATATGAGAAGAAAAAATATTTTTTTACCTGGTCAATAAATAACATATTAGAAACTTGATTCCAACTTTCAGGAAATATTTCTACATCTGACCCTCCTACTAAAGATCTACAAGGACCCATTTCTTGAAATAATCCTATCATTGAAGAACATCCCGGACCTCCATTTAGCCATAATGTCAATGGAGAAGTTTGAGGGTTATTTCTTGATTCAAAAAACCAAAAAAATAAGTTTGTAAATTGATCGACTTTTATATAGCCGGAATACTAGCGAGACGTGGAGAATAGTTAATATGCAATATATATGTTTGAAAAAAAAAGAATTCTTTTTTCGCTTCTTTACTACCTGCTTCACGTTTGGATCGCATAAATTGCTTGATACAATATTATAGGTAGGGTCTAGTAGACAAAAAGGGTTTTATTCACCAAAATTTGAAATTAACGTGCTAAGTAAGTCTATAATCATACCTATAACTGCTGCGCCAACGATTTCAGTGGTTAGTATGAGACATATTATTAAGGTAACGAAAATGATTAATGAATAGGAAAATTTGGCGGATAATTTAATCATCTTTATCTAACGCATACAAGTTTTTTCTTTGACTAACGCAAACAGGTTGTAATTTATACACCTTTGATGTGGTTAATACAATATGTATTACCATTTTTGTCACAAACATTGTAAGTTTATTTAAAACTCCGGACATGTTCCGATTTTCCGATTTCCGGTCATACTATGGGATTTACTATATAAATTGAACAATATGTGTGCAAGCTTATTGAAATAATCCGTTTTTGATTGTTATCGAAATTATTAAAATTAATTATTCCACTTGCCTAAAAGAAAGGATAAAGTTAGTCAATAACACAGATACGCTAGCATAAAATAAATGAGAATTTTATTCGTTTACCAGATACAAATATAAACAGTATCACCGAAATATAATCACATCAGGAAATCCCCTGTAAAGAAGATTCTGTCATACGAAAATAGAAAATTCTTGGAGTAAACAAAATAAATATATTGTTTATTTTATGATATAAATTGCGCGAAAAGGGAAAAAATAAGATTAATTTGCTTACAAATTGCCCTGATTAATAAACTAAAGATGAAAAATTGGAAAAAATTTTATGTGCTGCCATCATTTCAGGTTTAGCCAATTAAAGCATGTAATCGTTTGAAACATCAGATTTATTTCTGACATAATAAGCGTTTAATCCGGATTTAATATAACTAGAATAAATGTCTCTCTGTATGTTATGTTTTATAACATTGGTCAATTTGTAAGTTAGCTGCAATATTTATATGACGTCAATTGAGAGTTTTTAAGTTTTTAAACTTTTAAACTTACATGTATTAAGTTTTAAGAATTCTGGATAAGATTTACGCGTCAAGTTAATATACTTATATACTATATAGATTGTAAATAAGGTACTATAAAATGTGTATGGTCACTATATAATGTCCTGCAAAAGATTCACCGGTATATATACAGTATATACTAGAATATTCTGGACAAGTAATCTTTGCAAAAAATACATAAATTGAGATGTTCAGTTGTTGATACGGTTATATCTCCAAATGAAAATCTTGCATTCAACGGGCTATAATGTTAACGTAATATTTATTATAAGATTACCGGATCAATAAATAACCAACTTTCAGGAAATATTTCTACATCTGTTTCTCCTACTAAGATCTACAAGGACTATTTCTTGAAGTAATACTAACATTGAAAAACATCCCGGGCCTCTTATTTTTCATTCTTTATATACTTTTTTTTTTTTTATTGAATCGTAGTTTTTTCAATTGTACAATTTCGTCAAATGTGTTAACTGAATCACTTGCAAAAAGTACCGCAAAAATATGTAACGCAGTAATATGCTGACCAAGAAAGTCAAAGTAGGTAATTTTTGCATCAGTATAATCACTTATCACAAATTGCTTTATTTATCACAAACGAGTTTATAACTTGATTTAGTAGTAATTTACTGAGTGAGCTGTATTAACTTCTGCGCATGAAAAAACTAAAATTTCCAATAGCATTTCGAATCATCAAAATGTCACGTGAATGGGAAATATAGGCCTTTTTTTATTCGATAACAAAGTAAGTTGAGCTCATAATTTTCTTGCGATACATAGTGTTCGTCAATCACAGGATACCAGATAAACTCGGGTTTGTTACATTATTCACTCAATTTATTTTGACAACTTCCAATAATGATTTACCACACACTCGGATGGGGAAACTCTACAAAGAAACGGCTCGAGGTTTTGAAGTCGGCGCATGGTTCTCAGCTCGGCTCGGTTCAGAGCGACTTGAACTGACTGAGCCGACTTGAGCTGGCATTTCTACAATTATTTTGTGTTATAAGGTTATTTATATGCAGGAATTATTAAACGACATTTATTTAAAAAAATTTTATTCGGTAATTGAATTTTCATATTCATATTTATTTATTAAAAAAATTTTTTGCATTTAATGACCGAATTATCATTTTTTTATTGTAATCAATCTTATTTGATGTAAGCGATTATATGCTACATTAAAGCAAAAGAGCTTACAAATATTATAATATATAATACTAGTAATAACAGGATTGTTACCATAACAATCATAATCGTTATCATAATTATTAAGATCATAGTAATCATTATCTTGATTACTTTCATCATTTTTATTATTTGTATTATCTATTATTCAATTGCATAGAAAATCGAATTTTTTAAGAATTTCTTTATAATTCTTATCTGGTTCATTATAATAAGTAAACAATCTTCATATGTATCAATGGCGATAATAATAGTAATGATAAATCTCAAAAACAATATTGCCAATTGTGTGACATTCCTTGCTGTTTGCTTTAATTTTACCTACTTCTATATATTATACACAATAATCATTTTTTTGCATTAGAGTTTCCTCTTATTTTAAAATAAAAAAAATAAATAATATATTGTTGTTATCAACGATAAAAAAAAATTATTTATCTCTTGCCATTCCCTGCTTGTTCAAAAATGATCTTAATTCTTAGCGTAGTCTCAGGGCGTTCCATATTTTAAAATTCATTTGGTATTGTTATTATAACAAATTTTTGTTGTAAGTACTAAGTACTACATCAAAAAATTTATCCATCACAGGGAGGATCAGATCAACATCTCTATAGGAGAAAGAACATTTATTGTCCGGAGCGTAGCGAAGGATTATGCACTAGATGATTTGATAGTTAACCCATGTAATATTCCTTCCTCCTTCCTACCTCTGCATTTTCTTTTTTCCAGCACGTGACGATGTACAATAAACCCTTGAACAGCACTTCGGACTTAATAACGGTTTCCCATTTCCTGGTGTAATATATAAGTAAGTTTTCTTCTTTTTTAGGTCTGTTTTCTCTCCGTCTAGGGCTTCTCTTTATTCTTAGGCCCCTTTTCTTTACGTCTTCCTTTAGGTATGTGGGTTATTGTGTGTAGGTTTGTGTGTAAGTTTGTGTATAGGTGATATGTATGTATGTGTATTTCCTTACTCTTTCCCCTTCCTCTGACCTCCTCGCTTTTCTCTTTCCCTTTCGTTTTCCCCTTCGTTTTCCCCTTTCCCTTTCGTTTTCCCCTTCGTTTTCCCCTTTCCCTTTCGTTTTTCCCCTTCAATGTTGCTGCACCTCAACGTGGTGATCAGGTGACAACAAGTTTTAAAGACTTGGCTAAGTCAGTAATTACATATTACATAAGCTTTATATTATATTGATTTCATATGCTTCCTAATAAATTGGAAGATAAATATTTAACAAAAAGAATCAAATTTGAGAATTGAATTATAATCTTATTGAAATAGTAACTTGATATCTATCTATGGTTAATGGAGTCAATCCCAAGAAATTCATCATGATTCCAAGGGCGACAATTCTTTACAGCTTATTCAACTATCTCAAAACCAGCAAGTCATGTGATAGTGATTCTGAAATAAGAAAAGACGCCCCTTCACATACATCCAAAATCCATTACTTATTGAATAATTTTGTATTAAATTTTTTTTTTTTCTTCTTATTTTAAAAAAATTGCTCACACAATACTGAAATAACTTTACTGTTTCGTAAAATTTCTTCGCCTTTATCTTCATAATGGTAGGTCGAAAAGAACAAAATTCTTATCTTCTTTCTCTTCCGTTTTTTCCTAGTGTACGGATAATAAAAATTTAGAAGAAAGATCGATTTCAATAGTTGGAACAGCGATAATATTAGAAATAAGTTAATAACTGCAGTAACACTTGATTTCTGCGATAATAAAACTAGGAAACGGAAACCATATTTAAGTCAGTAAAAGAATTCAATTTTATTAATTAATTCATATTGTAAAGGTTAGCTATTTGATACTGTATGTAATTCTGACTGAAGAAATCTAATGCAGATGGTCATTCTCAAACTAAGAAAATATTTTAAAATAATGAAAGATATGGTTTTCGTGTAGTACTTAAAAAAATAAATGATTCATCAAATATTAGTGAGGATTTTTTAAATGAGGTAAGAAATTAAATTTAATAAAAAATATGCAATGGTATTTTTTTTTTTTATAAACTCATTAATATTTATCTTATATAATACAGTGGAAATTACATTTACAATGTCATCATAAAACAATATCAAAAGGTTCCATTCATGTCCCATTATTTGAAATAACACAAGATCCAGAAACATTAAATTATATGGCTGTAGTGTTTAAATTTCCTTTTGGTAGTTTAAAAAATTTAATTTATTGATATTTGAAAAGATATTGGTATAATGATCCTGAAAAAAAGGCCAACTGCCAATGAATTAAAACGGATTTTTTGAAATGGGATACTAAATATTGGCGGGAAAAAGATGAGAAAACGAGAATATCAGTTCCTGGTAATTATCTTCCAAAATCTTACAAGTAGTTATTCGGCCAAAATTAATGAAATATTAGCACAAGATGAATTAAGCGACAAGATTATAATAACTATGATAATGGTGTGTATAACAATTGAGGGTAGTATTTTTTAAAATACGTTTTAAAAAATATAGTTATAAATTGTATACTAATATTTTTTATTACATAATTAGAAAACTTTATAATTAAAGATTTAATACGAGTGAAGATCAGGCGTAAAATAGTTTTATTTGCGTTAAACCCTGAATGACAAAATGAATTTATAGAAAGAATTTGTTCAGTACATCACACAATAAATAAATATATACAAGATCGAGTCAAGAAAACGTACAATAAAACATTTTAAATCAACTTTAAAAAAATATTATAAATTACAATTTTATTAAATTAAATTTGTTAGAATCATATATTATGTTTTATCCATAATTATAAATGAAAATTGAATTAAAAAAAATTTGATGGGAGCTATATCGGTCACAGGGCCGAATGATTGGATGAAAATGGGCCACGTAGTTTTTCACCAATTAATGAAGGTCCCTCTGCCTGATCTCATCACCAATCCTTTTCTTATGCACCGAGTCTAAGAATTCATCAGCCTTTTTATCCTCTTCGCAAATTGAAGGGCTTGCTTCATTGAGCTGATTTACAACAGAACTAGGTACATCGGGAGAAATGTCCTGGGTTTGTTGCTTAATCTCCTCAATGTCATCCCTTAGTTTCACTACCTCAGCTTTAAGTTCGGCAATCTTAGCCCAAGTCTAGCATTTTCTTCCCTAAGTGAGCTAATCTCCTCGGATGCATTGTATATAAGTATTTATTAAAACATAAAATCCTGTTTAGCGCGCGTAATTCTCAATAATTTCATACAAGAATAATGTTTATATCGAAAATTTTATACTATATTGATAGCACCAATTTAAGGTATTACTTAAATTACGATTTTGTTTAAACTTTTTCTGCACTTTTAAATTCACTATTTTGAACCTAAAAAAAGAAAAATAAATGAGTAAAATAATATATTTAACATATTAAACATGAATAAAAAATAATATTAATCATTTTATCTAAAAGATTTTATTAGTAACTTTATTTATTACTGTAAGTAACAAACTATCTGAAAATTGTCAAAGTCGAATCACATGAGCGACGATCAAAATGATGTCACAGAGGCCGTATTTCTGGACCTGGTCAAAATATGTGGTAAACAAGAAAGAAATATTTTATTTTTTATCATATTTATATTTAACAAAAACAGCGTTCTTTTAATACTTTTTTATTTCTAAAATATTGATAAGATCAAAATAATTTTATTTTAATTACAAAAGTTAGCCAATAAATAGATTACATTTAAGAGAAGTACATTAATTAGGCAATAAATACTAAACTACAACATAAAACTAAATATTAAAATAAATATTAAATAATAAATTATTTGTCATTAATCATTAATGATAAAAAAATAAGTAATATATTATTAAGAAAAATAACAACGCGTCAATGTTTTCAAGAAAATAAATTTTTACCATACATAATCAAGGGTCAAGAATAATGTATTGCTCCGCACGACCGCACGACTACCCCAGCGTACCCTACAAATTTGTCACGAAACGGCCGGCATTAAGAAATTAAGAAATTAACTATGTGAATGTGACAAAAAATACCGTCACGTGATTTTTCGTGATATTTTTGTAAGGTACTCTGGGTAAATCGTTCCGCACGAGCTGAAGCCAGCTCACGAGCCAGGTATGTTGAGCAGAGCCGAGCTGCTGATAGAATTTCTATCATGGTACAGTATCGGCTAATTATTAAATTTTTTTAACTCAAATTTGTACCCTCCCAATGCATAATTATGACTACTTGTTTTTAATTTACTATTTATCAATGTAAATTTTCATACAAAAACTAAAATTTATGTATTATAAATTTTGTCAATATTAACTGTTAATAAAATTTTATTTATTTTATTAATAAAAATTAAAACTTCATTAACATTTTAAATGGATCGGCTGTTACAATCAGTTAATATGCAACCAGTAATCATTACTCATAGTGAAGTTATCGGCGTACTAATACAAATAATTCAACTATTACTCATATATTTAATAACATTGCAAATTGTTTTTTTGCTCTTGAAAACTCTTTTTATTTGATTTGATTGATTTCTCTTTATTAAAAAAAAAAAAAATAAGAAAATGGTATGATAAATTTTTACTTTTGAAAAAATATCCTGTTAAAAGCTATAACTATTTAAGCGTTACTGATTTGTAAAATTTGCAATAGGTTAAATTCACAGTCGACCAGATTCGTGATCTTGTACGTATTAATAAATTTAACATGAAAGTTATTTATTAATTAAGTAGAAATTTTAATCGGTCAAAACTCTTAAATAATTTAGATGGATCGAACCACAAACGTGCGTAATATTTCTGTTATCGCACATGTTGATCATGGAAAGTCCACGCTTACTGATTCTTTGGTATCCAAGGCCGGTATTATGGCTCAGCAGAAAACTGGTAATCGATACACAGATGAACGTCCTGATGAACAAGAACGTTGCATTACAATCAAATCTACAGCAATTTCAATGTATTTTGAATTTCCAAAGAAGGATTTAGTAGATGTGAATGGAAAGACTGATGGTATACATCAATTCTTAACAAAATATTTTATTTACAATAACCGCTTAATAATCGATTTGCATATTTTCGCTTTTATTATTAATTAGGCGAAGGATTCTTAATTAATTTGATTGATTCTCCTGGACATGTAGACTTTTCATCTGAAGTAACAGCTGCTCTTCGAGTTACTGATGGTGCCTTAGTTGTCGTTGATTGTGTTGAGGGCGTATGCGTGCAGACAGAAACCGTCTTACGACAAGCTCTTACTGAACGAATAAAGCCTGTAGTAATTATTAACAAAGTTGATCGAGCCTTATTGGAATTACAACTTACAAAAGAAGATTTGTACAAAGTATGTATAAAAGGATAAAAAGTTAATTTCTTTTGATAGTAAAATATTAAATATAAAAGTTATTATATTCTAGTCTTTTCAACGTACAATTGAATCAGTAAATGTCGTTATTTCGACTTATTTTGACAAAGCTCTCGGTGAAATACAAGTTTACCCCGAGAATGGTACTGTTGCTTTTGGATCAGGTCTTCAAGGGTGGGGTTTTACTCTTCATCAATTTGCTCAACGATATTCTAAAAAATTTGGTGTTGACAAAATAAAGTTGATGCAAAAGCTTTGGGGTGAAAACTATTTCAATCCTATAACCAAGAAATGGTCCAAACAACCGACTGCTGATAAGGGTGGTGTGACTGAACGTGCCTTTTGTAAGTTTGTCTTGGATCCTATCTATAAATTATTTGATGCTGTCATAAATTCTAAGAAAGAAGAACTTGAAAAAATTCTCGAAAAGTTGGAAATTACTTTAAAAAGTGATGAAAAAGATCTAGAAGGAAAAGAACTACTTAAACTCGTAATGAATAAATTCTTGCCTGCTTCCGATGCTTTACTGGAAATGATAATAATTCATCTACCATCACCTGTATCTGCTCAAAAATATCGTGCTGAAATGTTGTACGAAGGTCCTGCTGATGATGAGTGTGCTATCGGTATACGTAACTGCGATCCTAAGGCGCCTCTAATGTTTTATGTGTCTAAAATGGTACCATCAACTGATAGAGGCCGTTTCTACGCTTTTGGACGTGTATTTTCGGGTACTGTTAGATCTGGTCTTAAAGTTCGTATTCAAGGTCCTAACTATCAACCTGGTAAAAAGGACGATTTGTTTATCAAACCTATTCAACGCACAATTCTTATGATGGCACGTTTTGTTGAATCTATTGAAGAATGTCCTGCTGGTAACATTGCTTGTCTCGTTGGTATTGACCAATATCTACTTAAGTCTGGTACTATTACTACTTCGGAAACTGCTCATAATTTGAGAATCATGAAATTCTCCGTATCACCTGTAGTCCAAGTAGCTGTTGAAGTAAAAAATCCAAATGATTTATCCAAATTAGTTGAAGGATTAAAATGTTTGTCTAAATCAGATCCTTGTGTTAAAGTTAGCACTTCAGAATCTGGTGAACATATTGTAGCTGGTGCGGGAGAATTACATTTAGAAATTTGCATAAAAGATTTACAAGATGATTATGCTCAAGTTCCAATCAAAATTAGTGAACCTGTTGTATCTTATAGAGAAACTGTTCAAACTGAATCATCAATAATTGCTTTATCAAAATCGCCGAACAAGCATAACCGTATATATATGAAAGCTTTTCCTTTACAAGAAGAACTTTCCAACGACATTGAAAACGAAAAAATTTCATCCCGGGATGACGTCAAGTTACGTGCACGTGCCCTTGCTGATAATTACGGCTGGGACGTTACCGATGCTCGTAAGATTTGGTGTTTTGGTCCTGATAATGTTGGACCAAACTTGTTGGTTGATGTAACCAAGGGAGTTCAATACCTTAATGAAATCAAGGATTCTTGTATTTCCGCTTTCCAATGGGCTACAAAAGAAGGTGTATGCTCTGAAGAAAATATGCGATCTTGTCGCTTTAACATTCTTGATGTGGTATTACACGCTGATGCTATTCATCGTGGTGGTGGACAAATAATTCCTACATGTCGTCGCGTTATACGTGCTGCATCTTTAACAGCTACTCCCGGTCTCATGGAGCCTATTTTTCTCGTAGAAATACAATGTCCTGAAGTTGCCATGGGTGGCATATATGGTGTCTTAAATAGACGTCGTGGTCACGTTTTTGCAGAAGAACAACGTCCTGGTACTCCATTGTACACCGTTAAAGCTTATTTGCCTGTAAGTTATAGTCCAGTGGGTTTAATAATCTTATATTATTATTTTATATATAAACTAATTTATTAATTTCCAGGTAAACGAATCCTTTGGTTTCACTGCCGATCTTCGTTCAAATACGGGAGGTCAAGCCTTTCCTCAATGTATGTTCTCTCATTGGCAACTTATGAATGGAACTCCATTAGAACCCGGTACAGTAGCAAATATAGTGAAAGGAATAAGGAAAAGAAAAGGTCTCTCAGAAGAAGTATGTAAAATATCATTTATATTCGAGTGTGATTTTCTCGTATATTGTAACTTAACCCATTTTAAATGAATTATAGATACCTAGTTTGGATAATTACCTTGATAAACTCTGAACCTACGAAAAGAAATTGTCTTAATAAATTTAATATATATATATATACTCTCATACTAATTAGAAAGAAAAATTGATGAATCAATCCTTGAATTTTAGATTTGATAGAAGTAGAAACTTTCATGATACAAAGTTTTTTTCTTTAATACATGCAACAGTATTTAGTTAATAATAATCAATGAAATTGTGTAACAAAAAAAAAAGTAATTTAAATTTAAAAGCTAAGTTATAATAAATTTGGACTTTTTTAAATATGATGTGACATTGTGACTCATGTGAGCAACATTAAGAAGAATTATACAGTATTTTATTTATAATATACCCTCAGTGTTCATTCATCTTATTCTCAACAGCATACAGTTAGAATGTGCCTCATGGTTTGATTATTTGACATTGTCAATAATAAATATTATTTCTTTCTTTTCATTTTTTGAACGAAGAAAATGTAATAATATGAACGTCATAATTTTTTTATGTAACCAAAATACACTAAAAATATACTATTTTGATGATCAAATCCCATAAATCATCAATTTCCTTTAATAACCTAACATATCAGGAAAAGTAGAAATCCCTCGTGAACAAATACCAAAGAGAACAATTAGTTCGGAGTCGAATATTTATTATTTAATATCGGTTCACGCGTTCCCGTTCTCGAGAATTATATTGGTTTTTAGTTCTTATTCACGTAGAGGTTTTAGAAATTATTTATTTCTACGAAATGAAGACCAAACATTTAAAAAATAGAATTTTTTTGGCATGATGATCCTTAATGATTTTTGTGAAACATTTCACAGAAAAAAAGGGTTTTATGAACCATAATTTTTCCGAAAAAATTTCTCAAAAAAAATTTTGCTTATTTTCTTAATTCAAAAGTTACTTATTAATTTTTATTAAAGCATTTATTAATTTTTATAAATTTTAAAATAATTTCAATTTGTACTTTAACGTTAAAGAAATAAATAATAAGAAAATAATAATAATAAAAAAAAAATTATTGTCCAAACAAGTAATATAAAAATTTTATTAAATTTATCCTCTTTTTTTTTTACGTGATTTTAACGAAATTTATTGTTATGTATATATTATAGTAATGTTTAGAAAACCTCCATCAAACATCAAAAGTTATTCACCATTACGTAGTTCAGATCGTAGAAGATTTAAGGATGAAATATTAAAAAAATTCCCATTATTAGAATCTTCAATTAATAATTTGATCGAATCTTCAACGGATGCTACAGATTCAAAATCAGAATCTCCGTTTAATATTATAGTACCTGAAAATACTCAATTAGCAAAATTTAATTCAAATTTAGGCGTACATGGAGTAATTTATACGACCAAAGAAAAACATCCTCTTTGGTTTAAAAAAGATAAAGATAAAAATGAAATTTTGGTTCCAAGCGGTAAATTATATTATAATATATATATATATATATATATATTATTTTGAATCAAACAAAATTAAATATTAATATTCGTTTATTATTATTTTTTATTTATAGTTTATATGTTGTGGAAATTTCCTGATATGTTGCCAAAAATACCAACATTTGATATGGTGATTTCCAAATTAACTGGCGGGGCTAATCTTATGATTCCAGGTATCGCATTCCCCTCTGAAGGTTTACCTGAAGTAAATGAAGGGGAACTTGTATCTGTTGTGGTTAGAGGTTCAAAGCAAGTATCGTTAAATCAATAATATATTATTATTGTTGTTGTTGTTATTTGATTAAATTTAATACTTACTAATTTTTATATATTTTTAGCATACCAATGGCAGTAGGAACAATGAATATATCAACAAAATTGCTTGAACCAGGGAGTACTCGTAAAGGAATTGCAGTTAATGTAATTCATATATTTGGTGATTGTTTATGGAGTATGGGCGATCAATCTAGTCCACCGGAATTATCTGATGCCAAAACTTTTCAAGAAAATATTGAAACTGAATCATCTGAATCAAAAGTTGCTGATATAAATGAAGAAATAGACGAAGATGTTGAAGTTGAAAATTTAGAAAATGAATTTGAAACCAAATTAACAGTTTCAGGTAGAAAGAATATATATATATTTTTTTTTTGAAGTAAATCTAATTATTTTATATTATTTTTTTTTTTTCCTTTATTAATGTAGAAGTCGATAAATTATTACAAGATTCGTTTTATCAAGCATTAATAGAAAAATTGACACCCGCTACTCCATTACCAATGTCAACTTCACAATTTTATTCTGCTTACCTTTTACCATGTCGTCCTATTGGTACCGAAAATGAAGTTGATGTTAAAAAGTCAAGTTATAAAAAGGTACAATAACAGTTTATAGGAAGTTGAATTGTTTTTAAATTTCCATATTTCATATTTTTAAAAGTATTCTTTTGGTAGGTCGCAAAATTCTTGAGCGCTATGGAAAAAAAGGGAGTTATAAAGATGAAAGGAGATTCCACTCTTATTCATGTTAACTGGAATCACGAAAGGTAAAATTTGCCAGCACCGAATATGATAAAAAATTTCTTAAAAATTGTATATTAATTCATTTATCATAATGACATAATCTTAGCTTAGCTGGGTTTCGACCTCATAAAACTATCAAGAAAGCCACTTCGTCTACTGCACTTAATGAAGGACATCCGATAATTGAGATTAAACAAGTGTTTAAACCAAAAGGTCCTATTGTAGATTTTTTTAAAGCTCAAGGTGAAAAGTAAGTTAAATTTTTTGATTTCGTCTAAAGTTATAAATCAAACATTAATACAATTTTTTTTACTTTGTATAAGTGTTGAATCAGATACTGTTTACGAACCCGAACAAATTAAATCGATTGTTTTGAATTATCTTAAATCTCATAATTTGTCTGATAAACAAAATCCAAAGTTCGTAATGATTTAAGAAATTAATTCGTGATTTTTATTTTTTTTTGGGGTAAATCACCTTATTAAATTCAAAATTATTTCTTTTAGGTTTGTTATTCCTGATGAACCAATTCGAGAAATTTTAGCTAATAAATCAGGAGTAAGGGTTCCTGATAAATGGATAAGAAATGATTTAGTGAAAGAAATACAATCAAAAATGGAGGATCATCATTATGTTATATTACCTGGTCATGATCCTGAATTGAGGTTTGTATTTTATATTATGTTCAATTATCTTAATATCTTGAAAAATTGTATTTTATTAAGAGACTTATAATAAAACAAAATAATAGGAAGGGATTACCAAAAAATATCCAAATATCCGAGTCTACACGTACAGGAAATAAAGTTGTTACTACTATTCGTGGATTAGAAAGTTATGGAATGAATCCTAATGATCTTACCGAACCACTTCAAAAATTATGTGCATCGAGTGTTTCAGGTAATTATATTTATCTTTATTTTATTCATACAATTTTTTTTTATAAATACAATGTCTATAATATTTTAATGTTTAATATATATACATTACACATTTTTTTTATAGTCAATCCAACACTACAATCTTCTCCCAAAAAACCTTTGATGGAAATTATGGTACAAGGACCACAAATTAAACTTGTCAAAAAATATTTAATGGATACAAAAGGATTTCCAGAAAAATATATTGAAACTACGAACGTTAAAAAAAAAGGAAAGAGATGATGATGATCGAGTCAAATTTATTATTACGTGACTTATTGACAATTAAATATGGATCTAAAAAACATTATATTCTAACTCATTTAATTTTTATACCTTTCATTAATTTATTACACTAATATATTATATATGTATCCTTTTATTGAATATTGACTATAACATTATAACGAGTATTATTATTCTCTTACAATTGTTATTCAAATTATTTAGTATTGGAATATAATTTAATCAATAAGTGAAATTTGTGTAATAGAATCTGATGCAAAAGGTAGTTGCGCTTCAGTTTTATTAATATATTTATAATGTTGAAAATATTGAAAAAAAAAATCAAATTCAATAATCTAATTAAAATTCTTTATTAAAAGTCACGGAAATCTTTACAAAATAATGAATTAATTTATTGTATGAATTGCGTTATGCGATTTGGATTTATGATTCTCTAATATCAGTATTGCACTTTTTTTGCTTTTTTTTAAAAATAAATACAGGATTTTATAATTATTAATTGGTAATTTTATAAATTTATGATAAATTGTTGATGAGAAATCAACCAATCAAACCCAAATTTTTTATTTGAAATTTTTGACAGAGATTCAAAAGGCGATAATACATATTGTACCGCATCAATGTCAATATTCCGAGTTATTGCAAAACTGCTTTGAATATCAGTGATATTTAAATTCTTTACGTATTAAATGTTATAAATCTCATTAAACTTATTGTGCTCAAAATTTTAATTATTCAAATTAATTAGTGTGGAATCATCGGAAACCAGGGAAATAAGAATAAAGAACTATGAGTAGTCCTACTACTACTTATTGCCCTACTGCCTCTCGGTGATATGGGAAAGAAATACACCGCTAATTCTTTCCTTAAAGTAAAATGAGACACAGCCCAATACTAGGTCACCTGAAATATGGGAAACAAAGAGATCCAAATCGCTGCGGGTGAATTGCACACCATTGAAAAGACTTGGAAATGACGAACTGATAAACACACCCTCTATTGATTGAAGCAAGGCAAATCCAAGGAAAATACGAGATAGGGAGTCGAATACTAGCCACTTATTCAAAAAGAATATCCGAAGTAAAGAAAAAAAATTTATAGAAAAATATTGTTTGTATAAAATACCAAAATAATTCATGTTATTATTAATAATTATAAGATTATTGAAGTTTTATGATAAGATTTTTACAAGGAGCGTATGGAATATATGGCGAATGTAATGAGTCAGGAACTTGTAAATTCTAAAAGATTTAAGGGTAACTTCATTAAAGACATATGCTGTGATTGTTGTATAAATTCATCACTCCATTTGAAAATTTCAAATATTAATTATGCTGCGAAAGGCAAAATTTATTCATTAAAGGCCCAAAGGACGTATTTTATATATGATATTGAAAATCACAAGTGAAGAAATATTATATAATCCTTTCGATATAAGTACAGATTTTTAAATAAAGTGATCAAAATTTATATTCAAATTATTATTTATATCTAATAATATTTTATCCTTTTTTTATTATTTTTATTAGATAATACAATTCTGTTCAAGTTCACTTTTTTAATGTTACTAAATATTATGGAATAACAAAAATTCAGATACCAAATATTATCGTATATGATTTAACTAGGGATGATCATGATTCGAACCAAGCTGAATTAGTCCAGTTCGGTTCAGTTCATGCCTTGAACGAACTGAACTATGGTTACAATGATATGAATATATTCATTAGAAAGTTCTTTAGTAAAATACATGCTTATTTTCCTTGTTGCAAGGAGCTCATTATTTTCATGAAATTGAAAATTAACTAACTTATTATAACAATCAGGAATTTCGACCTGTCAGAGTTTCAATTGAACAGAGTCAATGCTGGCAAAAAATTATGTTTCTCTCTTTGAATCAAACTATTAAGCTTGCTTATGGTTTTTCCTTGCACTATGCAAAAGAGAGTAATAATAAATCAGCTCTTTTTTGATTGTGTATTGATTTTCCTTTTCTTCTAGAATTTGCAATTTGCTTTATAGAATTCTTCTATAATGATAGTAAAACTTAACAAATTGTAAAATCATCATATGAGTTTTATAATTTATTTACTAACCTTATTTAGTTTTGTAATCATTTCTTTTCAGTAAATTTCTAATGTTTTTGCATGACATGTTTGTTCTTTATTTACCTACTACAAGAAAGATTATTAGATGTGTGCCCTTTTTATTTAATGATAAAAGAAGTTACCATATATCGCGGGCTACGGTACTGGGTACCCGGGTATCTTGCAAATTTCAGGGGTTTGGCCCTGTACTCCTCTATTACGCGAATTTTTTCTATTAATAGAGGTGTCTAAAATTAGCCAAAACTAATAATAATTAAGAGATTTCTAATGTTGACTTATTATGAACAATGCAAAATCAAAATTAGCTGAAATTATGAAATATTTCTTCCAACTATTAAACTATATCATAAGATTCTCTGTCCCAATTACTATGTTTTATTACTGTTTTTTTTCTTTTTGAATGACTAAAAGATCATACAGTAAGATCTTGTAAGGTGAAAGATTTCGTGTAAATTAACATATTTTACCAACGCTATACAAATAATTAGTACAAATCAAAACTAAATTAAGCAGTATCTATCTCAGGGTATATGTGCACTTTATATAAACAAGTACAAACAAAACTTTTGTCTTACCAAATAATTAATAAAATTTAATATGGAAAAAAATTTAACATATAAAGATAATTATATTTTTCTTTTAATCCCATCAAAATCTTCATTAAAAATATTGTAGGCGAAAATTTAACTATTCCTTCTTCCTTATATTTTTCTATTAAATTTTTATGTTCTAAACCAAATTGAAGAATCTGTATAAAATGTAATAACATTGGATGTCTATCTTCCAATTATCAAAAAATAATTTTAAGGATTCTATTTCAACTTTGGTACAAGAAAAACAAAATTTAAACTTAAATAAACTACTTGGTGATGATTTTGCCAATATTTCAAATAAGTTACCCCAATCAATAGCATCAATTTTAAGAATATATAATCCTTCTAAATATTGACAATTAATTAATAATTTTTCTAATTCTAATATGTTTGCACTCCTAAGTGATAACTTAAGATATTTAAGATTTTTACAAATAGCTTGAATAATTATTCTATTATTCAAAGTATTATCACCTTCATTATTAATAGTAAATTCTGTGAGATACCCACTTGTATTTTCAATCAATCTTGCTAAAGGTTTAATTGAAACCCTTCTAGCTCTTAAAATTTGTAAAAAATGTGTAGATAAATTTTCTAGACAATGCCATTTTTCATTGTAAAAATCACTAGCCAATTCTAAACCTCTTAAATTAAATAAGGTATGATAAAATTTGTGTGGTAGGTTGTTTAGTTATCTTAAAGTGTTGTATGGTATTTGCATGTTTAATCAATGAATTTTCAAGAACTTCACAAAATAATATATCATGTGCACCTTCATCATAACTAGTTAGGAAACTAACCTTAACTAGTTTTTTAGCAACGCTTAGCTTCAGGAATAAGATGTATTTGACAATTGGGTATATAAAGATGTGTAATATTTGTATTTTCATCATTAACAAAAAGACGAATAATTTCATTCATAAAAAAATCTATTTCATAAATTTTAGCTCCAGCCATTGAGTTTGTATGTTCAATTGCGATTAAATCTAAGTGCTTACAAAAACTAATATTATTAAATAATGAAAAATCAAAACCTAGCATAACTAATTTATTTCTTGTTTCATTTGATAAATGTAAAATGATTACTTCTAATAGTAACTTCTCTTCGTGATAAAAATTAGTGTATTTCCAAGGATTTTTCCACAGAGTTGAAATAATTATCTCACACCAAGATTTATTAATTAAAAGATAAGTATAAAGAGGCTTTTCAATTTTATTCAACTCTTTGAGTATCAAATAAAGAACTTCTCCGTTTAATTTGGACATTATTTATTATTATTTAATTACGAGCGAACTGGACTTTATTATTTCCTTGTAATTTTTATGTCGCCTTAATAAAATCTTGGTACACTGTATAACATGACATGCATCACGGCGGATTTATGAAATACCCTAAATTTGTCCGTCATGTCAAATTAAATAAATATTTGACAGTCTTTTAGTCACCAAATTTCCCAAATTTATTAGTGAACAGTCAAAAATGAGCCCTAAAAAATTTTTTTGTACCCCAAATCTTGCGTCTAACCAATTTTTCCGTTACCTAACCAATTTTTCCAGTGTTAAAGGTGCGTCACATTTGACATTTTTTAGGAATGTTTCTGTAAGTCAATTTTAATTCCCGAGGGCGCAGCAGGGTTTTTTCCAAATTTCATAAATCCGCTGCAATGGTAGGTTGTACGATTAATAATCAAATTTAGCTGAAGGCGCAGTAAATTGCCACACCTGATAGGATCCAAGTCACACAAGACTAATAACTTTCCAATCACAAAAATATTGCTCGGCTAGTTAATAAGCACAAAACAAACGAAATTTTAGCTGGTGTTAAGGTTTCAAAGTTTCAGAAGGACCCCGAGCAATGCATAAAAGAGTGTTTGCGTAGAACGAACCAAATAGCGTGGTGATCCTTCCTTTCAGTTTAGATAATGCCAGGCGGCATGTTATTCTGGCCTGAAGTGGCGCGTAGAGCTAAGTGCCGATCTCTTGTTACCTATTTATATATTGCTCGGGTCCTGTTTCGGGGCATCTGTTTTGGTTTTTACTTTTTAAAAAATAGTACTTCCACACGCCCGCAATGCCAAGAATTATTCTAAACCAATGATTGTAGTATACATGCTCAAAATATTTATTAGTCCGGAGCGTAGCGAAGGACTCTATATGTTCTAGCCGTGGTGGTACAAAATATCCCGTTGTCCGTCCGCTTGTTCTTTGAGTCGACGTTTAATTGGTTCTTATATTACTATATTACACGAAATTATCTCGATCGGTTAATTGAGCATGTGATTATTGATTATCTACCTATATACTGATAAGCTCCGGACTACGTAACGGTTTACCGTTTCCCTAGTTATTTATGCATTTGAGTGCATGATTCGGCTTTATGCGTGATGATCATTTCTTTCTTGATTAATTTTTTTTCGTTAAATCATTTAGAATAGCTGCCTTTTTTTATTAAAAAAAAAATAATTATCAAATGAGTGATATATCTGTAAAAATTAATGATAATGATAAATTCATTATCAACAAAAATATAAATATTAATAATAACGCCGATAAACCACATAATGGTAAACCTATTACTATTATGAGAGTATCACCAAATGGAAAGTATCTCGTTACCTATAGTAAAGATGATGAATCAATTGTTGGTTGGAATATTGCAAATGTAGAGGAAGGACAACTTAAATCAGACTACAGTCGTACTCATAAAGGTTATCATGAAATAGAAGAAATATGTGTTTCTGATGATAAAAAACTCGCGTATATCCATGACATATATTTAGGTAAGTCATAAGCGATAGTTATTTAATGATTTGTTTATAGTAATAGACTAATAATATTCATTTTCATTTTTTATTAGAAATAATTGATATTAACAATAATCAAATAATTGAATTAAATGCAAAAATTAGTCACCTCAAATATCATTATTGCACCTTTAATTTAAAAGGTGAATTTATTTTTTGTAACGATGTTAAGAATAGACATCGTATATATCATAAAATAATTTGGGTTTATTCCACACAAACTAAAAATAACAAATGGGTATGTAAAGGAATTTACAAGATACCCAAAGATTTTGAATTGATTAGCATATCAAAATATGATAAACTTTATTTATTCTCAAATAACAACATTTATGAATGGAATATTCTCACTGAAAAAAGTGTAAGAATATTTGGCGGCGATGAGATATATAAAAGAGAGAAATTTTATAAGGTAAAGAAATTATTTTAAAAATATTTGAATATTCCATATATATAATAATTAATTATTATAAATTAATAGCATGATTTTAGATGGAGAATTAAAAAAGATATCAGAATTTCCAGTAATGAAAAGTTTATATATTTAAGAATCAAGAATAAAATTATAATATATTCAATTGAATTAAAAATTCCTATTATTTCTTCATTGGATATAAATAATGGTATTTATATTATTATACTTTAGTATTTTTATTATTAACGTTAAATTAAATTGTTTATTTTTCTCCATTTAGGTATTAAATCATATAATCTTCTGAATATTCCCGAATTATATACCTTATTACTTCCTGATGAACTGATTCATGATGATGTTTTATCAAGTAATAGAATGTGGAATTCTATCATGGAATATTGTTGGAAAGAATGTTTAAATCATTTAGAAAAGCATTATCAGCTACAAAAAAAACATCAACCTGAAAGTTCAACAATTCCTCAATTTATATTCGATATTAAAACCAAATACACATTTGGAATTCTGGATGGATACGTTTGGAAGATTAAACTTGAAGAAAGGATATCAAAAATGAATGAAAATAATAATAAATTAAATAATGAAATAATTGTTAAAGGTTTGGACTCTGAAGATTCAAGTTCTGATGATGAAGCCGATAAAATTATTGATTCTTATATGTATACTAGTAATGTTGAGAATAAGGAAATATATAAATACTTAAACATTTATCTATTTAATCCATATATGAATACTATAATTGCAAGTTTTCAAGAATTTAGTGAAATAAACGAATTGAGTACTAAAAATACTAAACAAGTGTTAATTCAAAATTCTAAAATCTACTGGCGGAGAATTGAAGTTGTTAATTTTTAAAAAAATCATCATTAATAAACGGAATAAATGGAAATTAATCTGCATGAGAATAGATAAATTTAATGTACAAGAATATGATTTATATGAATTTCACAAGCGTTTTTTGCATGGGAATAAGCTATTAAGTGAAAATGATATTCTAATATTAACAAAAATTGGCCTTTTTATTTATCATTTTAATGAAAATAACAACTTTATTTCTTTAAATTATTTTTATTATATGAATTTAAATATATATAACAAATATGAATTAATGAAAAACTTACAGTATCATTATAAAAAGTCATTTTCAAAATCCACTTTACCTTTACCAAACTATAATAGTTTTAAATTGAGTGACAAGTGGGTTCTATATGTTAAAGATAATATAGAAAGTCTTTTGAAATATGGGGTTGAATTATTATCATTTGCAATTAAAGAACATAGATTAGAACTTATGGATGATATATATAGAAAATGTATAATTCACTTTAAAGAAGATTTAAGAAATAATAAGATTTTTTTAAGTATCATTACTTCTACAATACCATTATTAAATGAATATTATCCAGAGTATATTTTAAGATATTCATTAGAAACAACCATGGTTATAGATTCTTTATCTTATACCATAAAATATCAAGATAATAATTTACATCTTTATTCTTTTCATTATCCTCAAATAATTAATTTAACTCAATCTATTTTATGGACAAAATACATTATATTATATCATAAATTATATATAAAGCATTATACTGTACATTGTTTATTATATTAAATGTTATTCAATGTTTATTATTGCTCTTAATTTTACCTATTTCACCTATTTTTTTGGTCACATTTTATATATTATCAAAATACCATTTTATTAATGATTTTAATATTAGATTATACAAAAATAATATAGTTGATATAGCATTACTTACTGATAATATCTTTGGTACAATATTCAATGAGTATGATATATTTGCTTCCTTTTACTTTTATATTAATGATAATTTTTTAAAATATATGTCAAAATCAACAACACCAACAATTACTTTTATGATTCCTTATATTAAATTTGTTAATTATCCGCAAAATTATAATTGGTTTTGGGAATTCATTAGACCCCAATCTAGTTTATTTGTTAAAATAATAAGTGAAAATATATACAAAACATGGGATGGTGAAGCATTAATTAATTTTAAATGGAATACCTATGGAAAATATTATTATGTAATGATTTGGATGTCATTTATAGCTTTACTTGGATGTTTCAATGTTAGTGCAACAATTCCTCAGCAATATATTAGCAAGGATGTTCAAAAGCAACTTTTAATCACTTCAATTATACTTGGGTTTATTCATCTTAGTTTTGAAGTTCGTCAAATAATTTATAATCCTATTAAGTGGATCTGTAATTTTTGGAATATTTTTGGTAATTTTGAATATTTCTTTTTAATTATTTGAATACTTTAAGTCTTTAACAAACTGGTAAAATTTCATAAGTGATTAATCATTTTATTTATATTATAGATATAATTGCATATGTACTTCCAATTTTCACTTCTATTTATTGGATTCAAACAGATGTTAGAAATATTCAATTACTTTCATTTTCATGCCTTTTTTTAGATATAAAATTTCTGTTATTTTTTAGAGTATTTGAATCTTTTGGCATATATTTTGCAATTATTATTAGTGTTGCAAAGCAAATTGTTTATTTCTTAGTAGTCTTATTAATCATCATTATTAGTTTTGCACATGCATTTTATATCTTATTATCACCAACAGAGATCGATTTTTCATTTAAGGAAAATGATCCTAATAATCCTTGGAATATTGTTCCTACTTATAAAGAAGTACTTGATAATGGAGCAATCAATTCTAATTCATATATTATTCAACAACCAGATGATAATACAAATATGTTTACAGATTATAGAACTTCTCTCTTTGCAATGTATTTATTTTTAACAGGTATATTTAAATTATTGTACTTATATGTGCTTATAGTATTTTTATCTTAATTTAGATACATTTATTATTATCATTAGGTGATTCAAGTGCATTATCCAATTGGTCATATATAAATAATCCATCACTTGTAATATTAATTGTCTTGTTTTCACTCTTGATTGTTGTGTATCTTATGAATTTGTTTATTGGATTACTTAATATGGCAATTGCAAAAGATAATAATAGAATCTCATATTTAATACAGCCCTATGAAAAAAAATCATCCAATTTTTGTACAATATTTGTTCAAGTCTGTGTGGAAATTGTACAATTATTGCAGATTTTTGGATAAAAATAGATATGAAGTTTTTCAAAGCATATTAAAAGTATGCAATTTTTGTACAACTTAAATTTAGGATATAGAAAATGTTCAATTTTTGTGTGATTTTTATACAACTTAAATTCAGGATACAGAAAACATTCAATTTTTGTACAATAAAAATTGTGATTATTGTACAACTTGAAAATAGACTTAAATTTAGGATACAGAAAGCAATTTTTGGGTAATCCTACTATACTACTTTCCATCTTACCTGTATGGTTACATTTGACCACTTTTAGGGTCGAATAGACCACTTTTAACCATTACAAATAGATTTTCCTAAGTAAAGTGATTTATGCAGTAAGGTTACATAAAATTCAACTGCATATTTGCTTATAAATGGGCATCTTCTGGACCCATTGGTGAAATTTTTGTATCATCTTGTAACTAAAAAAAAGTCAAAAACTTTTTATTAGGTTACACAATTAGTTCTGACCGGAATTATAATTTGGCCAGAATTATGCGGTAAAAATCAACTCTTAAAATTATATATGTTGGTCACGTGATCTGATCGTCAAAATAAATATGATGACGCGAAATGTTTTTGTTTATGTTTTTTTAACCTTTTAACTTTTCTTCAACTTTCTTTTAAAATATCAGGTAAGAAAAACTTGTGTTCTTTATCTTTTTATTTTCCTAACTTTTTACATTTTAATGTTACTAACTTGCTTTCTTCACTAACTTCATACTTTTTTTTTATTACTAATACTAATAATTTACTTTTTAAAACTACTAATTTGCTTTCTTCACTAACTTCATACTTTTTTATTACTAACACTAATAATTTACTTTTTAACACTACTAATTTGCTTTCTTCACTAACTTCATACTTTTTTATTTAATACTAATAATTTACTTACACTAATAATTTACTTTCTTCTTTGATACTACTAATTTACTTTCATGTTACTAACATACTTTATTTTATTTTATTTTCTTACAAATTTTTATATTTATGATTATATCAAATTTAGTATTTTATTTATGAAATATTGTGTATATTTTTTATATTTTAAGTCAATAAAAATTCATAATTTCACTTTATAAATTGCCTGTTATTACTGTAAAATTTAACCTATAATTCCTAAAATATGGCCTAAAATTTGGCTCAAAAATCACACAATAATTGTATAAATTTAGGTCAAAAATAGGATAATTATTGAATAAATTACCATGCAATAATTGTGTGATTTATTGCAATTTTTAGCACAATTATTGTATGGTCAAATATACAGAAATTGTAGTGAATTTAATTGAATGATTTTTCAACAAAAATCACACAGACTTTTTTCATAGGGCAGAAAGCTGAGGTATATCAAAATTATTATTTTATACGACTTTTTGTATAAAAAAATTATTCTAATTTTTTTCTTTTCTCAGATTTTGGCTGAAATTGAGTTATTATACCTTTTACCAAATCAGAGACGTTGGAAAGCATGGTTTCCTGAAACAATGTATGTTAATTTTTTTTATTTCTTCTAGGTTAATAAAAAGTGATTTCATCATGGACTAATAATAGTTAAAACTAATTTATTTTTCAAGATATTATTATGCTAATTTTGATAAGATTCATAAAGAAGTTAAAAAATTAATTAATGACGGTCAATGGGATGCTAATGAATTTTCGGAGATAAGAGAAATGAAGCAAGATTTACTAAACAAACTCAATATTCGGAATGATGAGACCGACCAGCAATTATTAAAAGAAATACGAGAAATCTTATTAAATAATAAGAAAAACAAGTGAAATTTTAATTTATTATTACTAGTTGTTATATTATATCTAAACGAACACTCATTTTATTATTATTATATGGATTTATATAAACATATATAGTATGTCTGTATTGATATTGAATGAAATTAGAATTTTATCTTAGGATCAGTTTGTAGAATGACCGTTCTCTAATTTTATATTTAATAAAGTCAAATATATTATATTATTATGTGCTCTATACAGCATAACCTTTCTTGATAACATGCATTTTTATTATATATTTTACTCTATATAACTTATAAACTTGATTTGATTCATAATGATTTAGTGCACATACTGTATATAATAAATACTGTGATTTCAAGACTTAGAGAAATATAGTATATCAAATATACTTCGTTGCTAAAAATTTGTTATAAATCTACGTTCAAGGTCTATTGTTACATTTTAATTTTTTACACTTGTAATTTAATAATTATAAGTGTAACATGTGTAGAGATGATGTGAACAACAAATATAGTTTGGTCTTTGTGTTCTTCAATGAGATGATTATTTTTATCTCCAAGGGTAAGCATTTCAGCAGCAAGTTGTGTTTCTCTAAACATTTGACTTGTTAATTTCTTTTTTTTCTCAATTGTTTATCCTGTTTTTATAAGAAAAAGTTTATAGATTTGATTTGTCAAATAATCAAAATATAAAAACATACAGACCTCTACAACTACTCTTATTAATCACAAACTCAGGATCTATTGTTAATACAGGTACATACATTATCAATGATTAGCTTAATTATTAGTCTGCAGTGAAGTTTGCTACTAGATTTGAATTTAGTGCAAAATTTAAGAAACTTTTGGAATACATCATAAATTCAAAATGCTTTATACCATAACAATATTTATTTATTTTATGTAAAGCAGGAGAAGTACAATGATATGTCACTAATCTATTCTATCGAATAAAAACCAATCAACGCCATTATAAATCTTCGTCCAAACCAACGGCAAGCCGAAGGAGCATACCCTCACTTGTTGAATCCCATCATCCCTGTGTCCCGACCTACACAGGTCAGCATAGAGCAAAATTACAATGAAAACAGGCGAACAGAAATTAAAAAAAAAAGAATTCGAGCCAAAACAT